TGGAGCTGGGCTGCCGTGAGTCGCCGGCGACGGCGTAGGCTGCAGCCCCTGTGGCAGTGGGTTGCCATGGGCTACCGTGTGTAGCCAGCAGCCGCCGTGAGCGGCCATCCGGAAGCCGGCGACTGATCTGCCTCGCTCGGGAAGAGCGCAATGATGGTGCCGACTTGGGCCAGTGAAGCAACGTCCTCCACAACTAGTCTGAAGAACAAAACAAAACGACAGCAACTTGTCTGTTCCCCTTCCCCCAATTCCCCAGCACTGTTCCCATCCCCTCAATTCCCCAATAAAAATCTTTAAAAAATAAAATAAAATAAAAATAAAAAATAAAGTATAAAACTGAGTGCATTTTCTTCACTCACAACCAAGGACACCCAAATTCCCCGCTCTAGTGCCCAGCCCAAGGCCTCCTTGAAGATCGGTGCTCAGCCTGGTCAGCAGGGGCTGGGGGGACACGAGGTGAGGACCGGGAGTGCTTTCTCTTCCCGGTCCTGAAGCCTGCAGGGCACATGGGCTCCCCAGTGCCAGGTTCCCAGAGGGCCTGCCTTCTCCAAGAGACCTCCCCAGGCCCACAGGGCAGCTATCCAGCTGGCAGCTGCCTGACCCAAGCGCGATATGCCAACTCCTCCATGTGGCCGGGCTCTGCCGGCCCCTAGAGACGCCAGGAGTCCTACCAGAGGCCTCCACAGTTCTTCATCTAGGGAGCTAGGCCTCAGGCTGGGTGCGCATCTGCCCTGCGGGGGGAAGGTAGGGGGTTGCCCCTCACGTCCACACTCTTCTATGCTTGAGAGTTCGCTTTAACACTTACGAGTCAATAAGCCATCACTCCAACACCCTGACAAAATTCCTGACTTTGAGCTTGCCCTGTCCCAGGCACCGTGTGGTGTACGCCTCCTGACTGGAATGCCACAAACACTCAGGAAAAACACTCACCAAATGAGGCTGGTGCAATTGTCTTAATATCTGACAAAATGGACTTTACAGGGAAAGCATTACTAGAGAGAAAGAGGGACCCTTCATAAAAACAAAAGGGCCAATTCATCAAGAAGATACAGCAGTTATAAATTCACGTGCACCTAATACCTCGATGACAAAATAATTGAAGCAAAGCCCCATCTATCAGAAGTGGGCAGGTCCAGCAAGCAGAAAATCAGTGAGCGCACAGGGGACTCGGCAGCACCGCCATCAGCTGGACAGAGTGGACAGAGTGGACCACTCCATCCAATGGCAGCACACACGGTTTTCTCGAGCTCCCGGGGAACACTCAGACACACCACATTCTGGGCCATCAAACACACCTTAACAGCTTTAAAAGGATAGGGATCATATGATACCTGCTCTCAGACCACAATGGAATTAAGCTAGAAATCAGTAACAGAAAGATAACTGGAAAATCCTAAAGTACGTGGAGATTACACAGCACACTTCTAAACAACACACAGGTCAAAGAAGAAATCTCAAGAGAAATTTTAAAATACTATGAACTAAATGAAAACACAACTTATCAAAATGTGTGGGATGCACTGAAGCAGAACCTTGAGGTTATTTCACAGCAGTGAATGCATATATCAGAAAAGAAAGACCTAAAGTAAATAATCTAAGCCTTCACCTCAGGAGACTAGAAAAAGAAGAGCAAATTAAATCTAAAGCAGGCAAAAGAAAAGAAACAATACAAGTTACAGCAGAAATAAAAAAAAAAAACTGAGAAACAGAAATCAGTAATCAGTGACACTAAAAGCTGGTTCTGTGAAAAGAGAACTGATAAACCTCCAGCCAGAGCGGCTGAGAAAAAAAGAGCGAGGACACAAATTACTACCATCGGAACTGAAAGAGGGGACATTACTTCAAAACTCATGGACATTTAAAGGACAATAAAGGAACGCTATGAATAACTCTATTCCCCCAAGTTTCATTACCGAGATGAAATGCACCAAATCCTCAAAAGGCACAATCTGCCAAAACTCACGCAAGAAGAAAGACAATCTGAATAGGCCTGTATCTATGAAAGAAACGAATAATAACCTTCCAAAGCAGAAAGCACCAGGCCCATATGGCTTCACTGGTGAATTCCTCTAATATTGAAGGAAGAAGTTATAACGATCCTCTACAATTTCTTTCAGAACACAGAAGCAGAGGGGATGCTTCCTAACTGACACTATGAGTCAAGTATCACCCTGATCCAAAGCCTGACAAAGCCATCACAAGAAAGCCACAGACCAATCTCTCTCATGAATATAGATGTAAGAATACTCAATGAAATATACTCAAATCAAATCCAACAATGTATAAAAGTTATGCACCACGACCAAGCGGGATTTACCCCAGGAATGTAAGAATGGTTCAACATCTGAAAACCAACTAATGTAATCCATCACATCAACAGGCTAAAGAAGAAAAATCATATGATCATATCAACAGATGCAAAAAAAGCTTTTGATAAAATCCAGTACCCATTCATGATAATAGCTTTTATGAACTGGGAATAGAGGGGAACTCATCAACTTGATAAAAAATACCTACAAAAACCCTACAGCTAACATCATACTTAATGGTGAGAAAGCAGAAGCTTTCCCACTAAAATGAGGAACGAGGCATGGATGTCCTCTCTCACTATTCCTTTTCAACATCATACTCGAAGTCCCAGCTAAAGCAACAAGACAAGAAAAAGAAAGAAAAGGTAGTATACAGACTGGGAAGGAAGAAACAACACTTGTTCTTTAGTTAGCAATTTAGGGTTTTGAAAGCCTTTCTCCAAAGGAGAAAGTGGCTAGTTTCCCAGGCATATATAAAACCAATTACCTAGTTCAGAGCTCTGTAACACTTAACCTTATGAAGTTCGTAAAACAGCAGGAAAAACACTTTTTTGTGGCTGGTCTGAGAGTGAAACACAATTCAGAACAGCATCTACAGGAACTTGCACAGCACATCAGAAAGAGCAAACTGCAGCAAACCCACAGAGCTGGAAAAGGAGCCCAAGACCACGTTCCCAGACAGCTGTCCCTGGGGCAGCGATGCCCCCGGAAGGAGGAGGTAATGCCTAATTTTCTAGTCTCTGGAGGGACCTTTCCCATCCCCAGTGGCGGGGCGACTATATCTTAGGAATGCCCATGGTGTCAAAAACATAGCAGACCATCAAAAATAATCTGTCTAGCTTTAAAACCTTACAGAATAAGTTTGTATGCCCCTACTTTTCTAGAGCAGGATTTTGCAAATGACAGTTTTGTTTTTGTTTTTGAAGACAGAAAAGAGAAGTAAATGAAACATGTTCAAAAGGTTTTGCATCAGAAATGTTTCTATCCTCACGATCCTTGGTCTTCTAACTACCTGATCATGGTATTAGAAATGAAAGCGTGATCTAAAATATACGTGAGGAATACCTAGCAGTTTTCAGTAACCACACCTAGAGTATCCATAACTCGTACTTTACCTTTCCATGCTATCCTCTTCCAAAGTTATCTCCATAAATGTCTTCAGCTTTCTGTGAACAGTGGCTGCAGCATCCTGCACTTTTGAACTTTTATGTTTACCTATGGGAAAATTATATTAAAGTCAGAAAAAAAATTTTAACACTGCCACACAAAAACAAACATACTCTGCCATCAATGTAGGCAATTTCAATACAACTGGGCCTACCCACCATGCCCTTTGAGTTAACCCACTTAGCGACCTGTGGACAGAACTGTCCCCTTCAAAGAGACGTGAGAGGATCAAGCAAATGCTGATGAAAGCACCTCTCAGCTCTGAGGCAGAGATCCCACGAACAGGATCCCCAGAGTTCTGACCATGCCCTCAGAGATGCTCACTTGTGCCTCCATCAGAAATCACAACCTACACATTTCAGAGTCACCGTCTGTTTGGCAAATATTTAAGTTCCTATTAAGTACTAGGTGCTCCTTGGCAACCCAGTCCCTATCCTCACACCGTCATCCTGCAGATGTCAACTCGGGGCACTTTAGGGAAGTCTGCTCTGATGCTTGGCCGAGGGCCAATTAGTTACAAAGTATTATCGTAAGACTGCAGACATAGATGCATATATGAAGGCTTATATATGAAAGCTTGTTTTGACAAGAGCACTCTCTATGTATAACATACTAACTTGGAAAATAATTTCAACATTAAAACTATACAAAAATATACAAAATCCATCTGCAGGATGTTACTGTATCTTACACTGAGGTAAGCCCTTTGTAGGTATTGCCAATTATTTTTCCAGGACTATTTCAACTGGCTGGGATATTCACAATAGGCAAGGTTAAGGCTTAAGTGAAACAGCAGATAAATTAAATATCAACACCAAAACATACCATCATTAGCAAAAATATATTCTGATTTTTAAGCATAAGCAATACATGACAAATCAATAGAAATTAAATTTGGAGGCACAGAAAGAGATATGCAGTGCGTCCAGAGGGGAGAGGTGACAGGACAGGAACTGCGCTAAGGAGCACGGGGCTGGCTGCTGCGTGGGCTGCTACAGGGTCAGCTGAGGAGAGGGAGCCCAGCAGACAACACGTCAGAGCAGGGAACTCAATGAACATGGGAGTAACAGTTCTGAGAGATCTACACAGCAACCGCCCAGACAATATAAGAGAAATTTAACCAACCTTTATTAATAACCAAAATAATATGCATAACAGCTGTGAGACATACAATTCCTTCAATATCATCAGACGTAACACACGCTTTTAATTCATCTAGAAATGACCTGCAATAATAAACATCAGAAATTACTCGACAGTATATAGCCTAATACTTTATAGGAAGACAATTATAGGTCAGAGTCATCAACCACCGTGAATTCCAGCTTTCAGATAACATGGGAGGTTATTAAACCCTTCCCATGCTTCTCACTGTCAGTGTGCCAAATCATAAAGGTAAGGCATTAAAATAAGATGATGATGCTAGACAGAGAGCTGGGACAGTCTGGTAGGTGGGAAAAGCTACTCTGTATGCCCATAATACATGCAATGAAAATTTAATATGTTATTGAAAAATAATTCATAGCTGTTAAAACAATGCTGTTATAAATTTTCTTTGAAATATCTGCTATTCAAGTTCCACAGGTATCAAATACCTGCAAAACTATTCTTTTGTTAATCCATCAGTGATTCATGTGCCATAAGAAGCCTACAATTTAAGAGAAACAACACGAGCCGTGTGCCGGATAGAGACCACATTTGCGTTTAATGCATTCAAGTTTGGGGAGTACACACCGTAAGAAGTGTTTCACGGCACTTTAACAGAGACTATTTGGATGAGTATGTTTTACAGAAAGTTAGAATTTCTCTTTGCATAAGTATAATGTAAATAGTTTTAATCACTGATAAAATGAGAGAAAATTCTATGGAATGTTTTTGTCAGAAAAAAAAATGCAACTCAGAAATTTGAAGAGTGAAAGGAATAGAGCAAAATCTACTGAGTGCCTGCAGCCACAATAAGAGTATCAAGACAGTAAAAATGGTTACCTGACCACATTCGGAGATTTTATGATTATTCCTATTAAACACCTTGAAAACGGTGGAAGGTCTGAAAGGCACTCTGGAGGGGCAAGCTCTTCTACATCAGAAACCTAGAAAAAATTTCAAATGAGTAATTTATAAATTGAGACTGAGGCTTATAAGATTATTATTTTATACTGCTTTGGGTTTTCTTCAACACTTGAGAAAGGCTTTCCAAAGACACACAAGAATGATTTTATTAACTGTTACAATCTCTACAATAATTAATTAATCTAGTCTTATACACAGGGTTGTCTTATTTATTGGATTGTCGGAAAAGTCATGACGTATTTTTTCTATTTTTCGTTGCAAAAATACGTCATGACTTTTCTGACAACCCAATAGAGTGAAAAAAAGAGATAGACATGTCACTCAACAAGCCTTTCGTCAAACAGCCTTTAATTTGGTATCATCTTCTGTAAATAATGAGTATTCACACCCAGCAAATGTCAGTCATTACTCTTCCTAGCCCAGATCCGATTTTCCCAATTTCAGCATTACTGACACTGTGGAGGGATAGGGCCTTGCTGTGGGGGCGCCCTGTGCACTGTGGACACTGGGCAGCATCCGTGGCCTCCACCCACTGGATCTCAATAGCACCCCCTCCCCAGCTGCGGCCGATGTCCTCTGGAGGATCAGTGGGTACCGCCGGTTGGATCCACAGAGGGGCCCTCCCGGGACCTCTGCCCTTCATTATCAATTTCAGAGTTTGAAGTCATCCATTCTCAGTGAATGAACTTCACGTGCCAAGGGAAAGCCTCCTGGGAAAGCTTGAATCCAGCGTGCCTGCCCGTCCCACCTGGAGCTGAGGTATGACCATTCTTCCCACCACTAACTATCTCTGGCCTCTCTCTCGGAGGTCTTAGGGAGTTTCCCTCGGGCATGACGACATAGCACTTCCTATACGCCCTCCTATAATTCCCCTACTGGGATTCATAAAGCTAATTTGTATATTAAAGTCAATCATCATTACATGTGAGATAGCACTGTTTCTCATTAAAATGCTTTACATCTTAAATGTTGTAAATGCATTTCTGATACAATGACACAAATGACTATTACTGGTTTAAATAAAAGTGTATCTTGAGATTTTTAGCATTTTTAGAGGAAAACTATGTGACAAGAGCACGGGGTAGGAGGGTACTAATTGGAGAACGCCGTTCTAAGATCTGTGATGTGCAGGTATAATCTCTGCAGGGCGACTGTGATGGGTTACACACGCATACTTAAATCTCCAGAGAAACCACTGAAAAACGTCACGAAGGACAATATAAAGTCAACAGCGAAGACAGAACAGTACAAATACTTGATTCATCACAAATTAGCAGGAAAGCAAACAGCAACATGGGCAACTTAAACCCAAGCATAGTAATCATTTCATTAAAATCAATAGATTAAGCACCCCAACTTAAAGGCAGAGATTATAAGACTGGACAGAAAAAAGAAAGGCTCCCATGTGGAGTTTATAAGGAACACGTATAATGAAAAACCGGTGAACAGGGTAAGAAAGGCGATGCTACGCAAAATACAAGGGCCAGGCACACAGGCTGTGTGATGACCGCACTGCAGACAGGCGTCACGTAGTAACAACCATCAAAAAGACCAAACAGTCTCAGGTGTTCCTGTGCCTCGGAACAAAGCCCCCCAGGCACGGAAGGAGGACCCCTAGGACAGGCGGACAGACGAAATTGGTGAGGACAAAGAACACAGGTCCACAGACCTTCTGTGAAGTAGGAAGACAGGGAAATTTAAATAAAATCATACATATGTTCAGCTTTGCGGGCGAAACAATCTCTACACCTACTCAACTCTGCTGTCTTAGCAAAAGAAGCCACAGAAAATACTTGAAAAATGGGGTGGCTGCTCTCCAAAACGGCTGTGTTCACAAAAGCAGAGAGTGGGCCAGGTTGGCGGCACACAGGCTGTCAATGGACTTATTTATCGTTGTCAGCTACTGAGCTCAGTGAAGTGATAAATTCTAGTCCTTTTTACCCTGCGTATAATCTATTAATAGCAGTTACTTGCTCAAACCAAATGACCTCCCTGCAAGGTGTAAGAAGGGCCTCATATTCTATTAATGTTTCAGAATATAGGTAACTTTTTAAATATTCATGATCTTATTATAATACAAAATTCATACCATATATATCCAAACATTCATATAATTGGATGATATTCCATGTCAGGTTTCATCTCTTCATTATTTTTACTCTCGTAAGTCCCTCAATACAACGAGGGTTGCACGTGGAAAAAACAGCACTTTTTGTTCTGACTTGAAGTATCTTTAATCAAGTGGGCTAGTCATATAAAATAGGCCATTACTAGGAAAAGAGCCAGTCCTCTACAGGGTGGGAGTGAGGACATTATGTGTCTGCACTCACAGCAGAAGCAGGAGACAAAAGGAGCAGGACAGAGGCGTGGACTCCTCGGAAAGTGCAGCTCAGGAGGGTCTGGCATCCTGAACACCATTGACCAGGACCTCTGCCTCGTCCATAGAGGACTTAAGGATCAGCAACTCGCTTCCATCTCCAAAACACGGCAAAAAGAAATGTTCACAATGGAACGACTAGTGTGGTTCTAATCGAGAATGACTAAGTCCTTAACAGGCTGTCTGTCCCAACAGCACACAGGCTCTACAACAGGAACTGGCTGTGAAACTGCGAGGTCCGGCTGCCGGAGAAGCAGACGCCCCACTAACTCTGAGCTCTTAAAAATACTTGTTAAAACACAAAAATGTGCTGCTGGCAGAGGAGAGCATCTTTATAGTCAAAGGAAACACAGTGGTTCCTGGACCAACAGAGCAGACTTCACCTTGCGCAGTCGGTGACTTATCTCGACGACAGAAGCAGCAATCAGAGTGGACAGCACACCCCGGTGAACCGGCGTGTCCGCATGCCAAGACTGAACGGTCATTATAAAGTCATGAAGAGGAGTCTGAACAGAATACAGGAGCTACAAGAAAACACATCAGGGGTTTTTAGGGGTTAAATCAGGAAGACATTTTGAGGACCAGTGTTCCTACTGTCCTCCCCCGGGCCCAGGGTCCCTCATCACATCTGCCTCCATCAAAACCCACTCCCTTCCTTCCCGCTGCTGACTCAAATCCCTCGGGCACCGCGGCTACCAGAGGACAGGGCTGAAGCCCACCCGGAATTTCCTTCCCGACATTCTTTCCCCACAAGAAAAAACAAAAAACCCAAGCATAATAAAAATAAGCCTCCCCAAAAATAATATTAATAAAGAGAAAAGGAAGGAAAGAAAAGATGAAGAGACACCACTGACGTTATAAGCAGACATCAACCATGACGGCATGGGCTCTGAATGAAGCTGCACAGCCAGTGGTGAAAGATTTGGAGAGAATATAAAAGATTTTGGCACAAATTACATGACATAAACCGACCACAGATATTTGAACATCATCAAAAACAGAAACATTTCGAATTAACTCAAATATGAACTAAGCTACGGAAAATACGGCTATCAACCTTCAATTACCTCTATCAGCTACGTACAGAATAAAACTGAAAGTTTTCAATATTTCAAAAACATCCTAGCATGGAAGCATTTTTTAAAATCTTCATTAAAAAACAATAGCTTATTCATATTTTTAAATCACTACTTAGAAAAAACAACGGCCCTCTCTGATGACAATGATTTTAGAAGTAAAGCCACTCTGGCCCCTGGGTCGCTCAATGACCACTTCACATCAGCTTCCAATCAGCACAGGGGACTGTGGGTACTGCCAGCTCTGCCCTCTCACTTCCACCCAGAGGTCAGGAAGCGCTAGCAGGGTAACCCAAAGCTACCTGTCAGTGGAGGGAAGGTTTTGTCATCTACACATAATCAATATTCTCAAAAGTGTATTTTATTTGGAAAACCCTGTGAAATAACAACTGAGCCCCGAGGAGACTACTGCAATTACAGCTCTGCCTCCCGTCCTGTTTGGCAGGCAGGCTCCCGCTGTGGGCCTGGGACCAGAACTCAAGCACCTGTTCCCAGGCTGCCAGCCCCAGGTATTACCTGGGCAGGCATTACTATCTCACATAGCAGAGTGCCCCACTCTCAGGAAGCAGACCTGAGCAATGGCGCCTGGTGCTTCTCTCCCACACCAAGCTGCCCCTAACCCAACAGCCCAATGACACAGGCAAGCGCTGAGAGCCCGCACACAAGCACGGACCCCACGCAGCCTCGCCCTCAGGGAGCACTGGCCAGTGCACATCTCAGACCCCGTCCTGTACACATGAGTACCCGCAGGCCTTCTTCAGGCTGCTTCCTAAAGCTCCACGCCATACATTCCAACATCTTCTGAAAGACTTTCTGGACCGTGTCAAACAGCGTTGCAACTTCATCTGAATCTGTCTTCTCCTTCAAGGAACTCCCGGTTACCTCCTTCAGAATGCCAAGAAGTAACGCGACGTAAAAGAATCCCTTCACTAGAAAGAAGATTGGACAAATCAGTTATCAGATCACGTAACGCAGTTGAAATCATTACACACTTTCGCTCACACGTGTGTTATGGTAACTTAAAAGATTGAAAGAGCCAATACTAGGTCAACATAGATAAACAAAAGCCGTTCCTTTAAACATAAAACCAGTACCTCCAGGAAAAGCGTGTCTGACTCCGTTGCTAAGAGCCTTGCTCACTGCACCTATGGGCAGTGGGCCCTGAACACCTGGGTTAGAGAATACCCTACTTCTCCCATCACAGCGATGCCAAACCAACACCAGCTCTATGGTCCAATTCTGAGGTGGCCCGACAGCTTTCCAGATACGATCTAGCAACCTCAGAGGCCAACTCTTAAACTCCTAACACCTCGTGGTTTATTGATTGTCTTTCTCTTCCGATTCACCACCTTCACTGTGTTGTATGAATTCAGTAAAATGTTTTCCATGTGTGAACCTAAATCCTACAATTCACCCCCGAGACTCGAATTTACCTCCGTTTATAAAGTAGATTAATAAGATACAATAAGCTCTACTTGAGACAGATATGAAGCTACTAACCCAAATCCCAGTTTATCTGCTAAAGTAAATAAAATAAATGGTTGTGTTCCAGTCGAGTTTACTCTTCAAAAGGTCCATGGCACTACCAGAATCATCAAAAAGTTTCTAAAATCTTTGCATTGTAGAAACTTTCAATAAAGTAATCTTTTATTTAAGACGACGAGAGACACACATGCCCCAAAGATGTAGTCATTTCAGTGGAACAGGCAGTAACGGAGCGCTGAGCCCTTTAAACAGTACAAACAGCCCAGGGGAGGCCAGCGCGCTGAGGCCCAGAACACAGCGTCTGTCCTCTCACACCCACCCTCACAGCCGCTGAGGAGAACCACACTCTGACCCAGTATCCAGAATTATTGACAGCAATCTAAAAAGTTAAAAAAATTTAAATCAAACGATTTCATTATATTCAAGCATTATGTGCCTTATAACCAAATATACAGACAGTGTTAAGTACCATACGACAAATTACTGAAGATATGTCAGAATGCACAACTATGTAAAACAGAAGACACTGACTAGAAGTTCTTGCTCCTCAGAAGTGAACTGGCTCACATGCAATGCTAGGCCAGGCCTGACATCGGTCTAACACTGTGTGACCACGAGTGCCATCAGTCTAACACTGCGTGACCGCGAGTGATGTCAATCTAACACTGCGTGACCGCGAGTGACGTAAGTCTAACACTGCGTGACCGCCAGTGACGTCAGTCTAACACTGCGTGACCGCCAGTGACGTCAGTCTAACACTGCGTGACCGCCAGTGACGTCAGTCTAACACTGTTGGCTAGACGTGCTGTCAGTCTCACGCTGCACGGCGGCTCCCGGGTTTCCCAGCAGGTTAGTGTCTCAGGCCACCACGTGTCTGCAAAAGGGCAGCAGCCACACGGAAGTGGCCCCACCAGTCCTTCTCCTGGCTCAGCCGGGAATGGGCTCCCAGCCATAAGCCTGGGCCACCATCTACATCAGTCTCCCTTTACCTTTTCATTTAAGACCGAGTCCATATTTGTTGTACCACATGTTAGAAATGGAACCTTCCGTTCTAACTGTGCTGATCCTTTCTGCTAGGATTATCGTTCTCGGTGTGGTGACACAGCGCTGTCTGAAGTCAGCGCCACGTCGCCGTTTCCCACAACCCTGTCACTCGGTGCCTGAATTTGCAGAATGCATGCTGTTTTTTGAAACATACATATTATGTTACAGCTGAAACTCCTGTAATTTTGTGAGCGTAGATCTCTACATTTGGGTTATGTGTGGAGACCCGGCTGTCGTCAAGGACGTCTCTCCTGGAATACACACTTGAGCGTGGAGAAAGCCCTGTTTAATTAGTGATAATACATATGTGATAGTTTTTCAATTACAATGTTTTCTTAGGACTCCAGGGCGCAGGAGACTCTGAGTCTACCTAGCTAAACCGCTGAGTGCAGTCCTGTTTGTGACAGGACTACAGCGACAACCCCAGAATTGATTCTCTCCTGGGGAACTCTGATAAATACAGTCCTTTGTACAAATCCAAATATCATTTCAGTTTGGTCAGACATACAGTCAGTAACTTAGGACCTTATTTGGGGGACAGATACCTCTATGTAATGAAACTGGCTACATTGGAGATCTAAAATTCTCATTAGCTCCTCAGAAAAGAAAATTTTATAAATACCAAAAATAGATTCGGTCCTCTGGGGGGAAACAATTCCTAAATGATAAATGAAGTTTAAAAAAATGCAAATCATTTTTAATGTTTCAATTGTTAAGATTAAGTTTAAAATGCTGTTTTCTCAATAGAAAATAAGTTATTTAAAACTAATAATATTTGTTCTATTTAATACTTAGTCTTTAACTTTGGAAATTTTAAACAAATAATGTATAATCTTGCATGCAGTTACAGACTAATTTAAGGGAACATATACTCAAAAGAGCAGAGTAACTGGTACCTCAGCTCCAGGATAGTCCAAGCGCCAACCTTGGTGGCAGTAGCTGAACAGAAAGCCCGTGCAGGACCTGCCACCCAGACCCTGGGGTCTGCGTGACAGGAGCAAGATTCCAGGTGACTAGCTTTAAACTGAGCGGCAGACTCATTGAATCTAATTTTCAAAACATGATGTTGAATTTGCTAAAAGATAATCTTATTTGCAATCTCTTCTAGCAAATATCTAAGCTTAAAGAAACTTACAGATCGAATTCTCAAGTTTCTATAGAGCTCAGACAAAAGCAAATGTCACATTAGGATGCACAGTAAGAACAACTAAGAAACCGTGTGTGCAGCGACTTGGCTGCCCCAGGGAGCTGGGGGGCTGAGGTCAGGGGTCAGCCCAGCCATGCTCCTCTTAACCTGGCTGTGACCAGAAGTGCAGGAGACACACTGGACCACAGCCCCACTCCTCCCGCCATGTGCTGGGGCTGTGAGAAGGGGCCACTAAAGGCCCGGCTCGCGAGGCTGGCCTCTCACTCACTCACTGCACACATTTAACTGAGTACCGCGTGTGCAATAAGTATAGGACCCATGGTATTGGTTCCCAGGGGTTACCCTGTCCTTGGGGTAACAGCAACTTCCCAGTGGTCCTGGGGGGGCATTAAATAATGCCTAACTCACCCCCCAGTGGCCAGGGGAGGCAACGAGAACCATCGTGAGCTTTGCCAACAGGTGCCAGGAAGGGGCACAACCACTGGGTGGCCTCTGCACCAGCCCACACGTGGCCAAGTCACCTGACAATCAGCGAACCGCATGCAGAAGACCCCATGGCCTCATCAGGAACTCCCGACTTAGTCGCATTCAACGCCAGGAGCACCTCTGAACTCCCAGGCGGCATCAGCCTGTAAATTCCTTTTTTGGCGTAAGCTAGTTTGCATTCCGTATCTATCACTTTAAAGTGAGAGTCCTGACCAGCATAGTGAGGGGAGAAGACGAACTGGTTTGACTGTTAATCGCTCTAAACTCGTCCTTTCATGAATAGCGTATACCTGTGTGCATGACTGCAAGACTCCACTGCAGAAGCTGTATCTGAAACTTACAGTCACCAAGGCCAACCATAATGACATCTTTGCATACCGTCAGGTAGGTCTGTAAGAGACAGATGAGCAGAAGTCAGTCACCAACCAAAGGGGTCAATCCAGCCGGGAAGGCTTCTAACAGCTCAGACAGCCAATTTTCACAAACATGTTACGTGAAAACAATTTCCATAAAGATACATTAATTCTCACTTTGTTTCCTTAAGAAATCTAGAAACACATTTTATGTAATTCCACAAACATTACTGAACACCTATTACATGCAATGTGTAAAATTACATTAAAATGATGCAGTTTATGCTTTGTGAAAAGATAAACTCCAGATGCTCAAATGCACTGTAAATTATTAAGAATGGAAACACTGTTACTACAACAGAAATAGTTTTAAGTGTCTAAGTTACAACTTTAAAATAGAAAATAAAATCTTGAAGCACGTCACAAACTCAGGAAGCAGAAAGGTTTCTGTGTCTTAAAAATTCTAACCTGGATGATTTGCTGATACACCACCCTGTGAAGCTTCAGATATTCTTCTTCTTGATCTTGAATAAAAGATAAAACTTTGCTCTCTAACCAAAACCCAGTGTCTTCCAAAACAGACAGGGACACTTTTTCTTCTGCGCAGAACTGTCCAACGACAACAGAAAGAGAAATTAGCAAGGGGCCCAGCTTTGGCGACATGCTTCCTGGACTGACCCAGAGCCAGAGGCGGACACACCTTGTGCTGAAGGTGGATGCTCAAGCGACAGTGGAGGCTGAAGGCCCGCAGGGCAGCAGCTTCACTGAAGCGGTGAGGCTGCCCACCTGGCGACTGCAGCATCGATTCCAGATCTGCCTGGAAGGTAAAAAACCTGACACTCAGAGGCACTAGGAGGGAGACCTGTGCAGCAGAAGCGATTCCATAACACAGCACAGCTTTCCCAGAAAGGCAGTCTTCCCTCCCTCCCCCTGCAGACTCTCCCTCCTGAGGGACCACAGGAACTTTTTTTTTTTTTTTTTTTTTTTGATTTTTATTGGGGAATTGGGGGGATGGGAACAGTGTTGGGGAATTGGGGGAAGGGGAACAGACAAGTTGCTGTCATTTTGTTCTTCGATCTAGTTGTGGAGGATGTTGCTTCACTGGCCCAAGTTGGCACCATCATTGCGCTCTTCCCTGGCGAGGCAGATCAGTCGCCGGCTTCTGGACGGCCGCTCACTGCGGCTGCTGGCCGCTCACGCTGGCTGCTGGCCACACACGGTAGCCCATGGCAATCCACTGCCACAGGGACTGCAGCCCACGCCGCCGTCGCCGGCGACTCACGGCAGCCCAGCTCCAGGTTGAGTTGTTGTTCAGCATCTTAGCTGTAGAGGGCAGTGTCACTGGCCCTCATATGTGGGATCCGAACCGGGGCTCTCTGGCATCCCAAGCGAGTTCTTAACCATCGCGCCACTCGGCCGGCCCCACAGGAACTTTTAAGTTACTGCTTAAGGAGCCCTGAGGATCCAACATGTTGGAGCCTTTGCTCCTGGGGAGAACTGACCCATAATTGGGGAGGGGCATAGGCAGCCCTGTGAGGGGCAGGGAAAAACGGAGGGAGGAAAGGAGAGGGAGGGAGGGAGGGAAGGAGAGAGAGACTGAGAGAAGGACAGAGAAAGGCAGTTCTTACTGGGACAACTCTCATCACAGGCAGGGTGGGGATCCAGACTGATCAGACTCCCCAACCACGCCCTAACCGGAGCCACACCCACCCACCACACCCCAATCAGGAACCACGCCCCCTGGCCACGCCCTAACAGGAGCCACGCCTGGTGTTTGGAAACGCAAACGCGAGGGAGTAGGTGTTAGTTACGATGGTGCGGGGAGGTGGGTCCCCCAAGCATTTCATAAGTGGTAATGCCAGTTGTGCCCCTGATGGGGAACATACCTCCCATTTGCCTAGAACCCACAGGCAGCCCTACTTGCTACACCAGTGCAGCCAGTGTCCAGATTCGTCCACGGTCGAAACTGCAGCGCGGGGACTGAAGCGCTGTCCCCGTCAGCCCCGCCCCTGGATGGCTGTGCGCCTCCTCCTCTCCCTTCAGACCCTGCTTCCCCATCCAACGCCTGGTGCTGGCGCATCGGAGGCTCTGCCCTAGCACAGCCAACCGCAGGCAGTACACAGGCTGCTCCAGGGCTGGTCCTGGTGGAGATGGCCAGAGAGCAGTGAGGAGAGGAGGAAATGGTGACATAGGAAACACTCTCCCCAGAGTCTTAGGAAAGCCTGCCAAGGACTCTGAGTCCCACACAGATGGACAGGAGCAGAGCAAGAGACCCTGGGCAGATGGCGTGTTCTGAGAAACCGGGCTGCCCCATCTTGCCCCCCGCGCCCCCAAGTCACCGAGTCTCATGTCCTCGTCTAAAAATTGGGGGTGGGGATGGTACTAGATAACTCTCAACTCCCTGGGAACACTTTATAACATAAACACAAAAAATTTTAGATCTTACTTGATCACTCCTAATGCATAGAATCACTCCACTTTCATGGCATCTGTTATCTGTGCTATAAAGTTACCTTTGACGTTTCAAGTGCTTTCAAAAGGTGGTTCAGTTTCTTCCGGGGAGCAGCGAGCAGGCACTCCCGATTCTTGGGGTGGGTCAGCAAATACTCCATGTAAACCAACGCCAACTCAGGCTTCACGGGGTGTGTGTCATGGATTTGCACTTTCCGCTTAGATGCTGAGTTGCTCTGAAAGAATGGAAAGCAACACAGTGATACGGTGTCCCCAGGAAAGCATCTCATCTCTAACATGCAGCTCTCCCATCCAGCGCAGTTTTAAAGCAACACTGAGCACGCACACCTTTCTCTGGGGCTGCTCCTCTGGCAGCCAGTCGCAGATGAGCTCCAGCACATGCCCCACGTGTCCCCAGGAGCAGAGGCAGTCTAACAACGTGCAATAGCTCCTGTCTGCTGCTCCTTCCTCTTGGTTTCTTAAGGTGGAAATCACACCACAGCTGAAAATGTCAAATACATACAGTCAGACCGAATATTTCAATAGCAATTTCCCCCCTTTTCTAAAAGATGAGGACAATAAAGTAGCTAAGAGCTGTGGGTACATAAGCCCTCCCTATCACAGGAACTCCTGGACATGCTTCACTGTAGGAATAAACACACTGTTTCCCCACAGTTACTACATGGGACAAGTTCTAACACAAACCCTGCTTCTGAAAATAGCTCGGGAACCCTGAGGTCAGCGCCGCCCAGACATGAGGATTCAGTTATCCATGGCACGCCGCTCACAAAAAACTCCCAGCCTCCTGTTTCTGTGTCATCTCTGTCAGACTCTAGAGCAAGGATTCCTAATTTTAATGTTTAGCATTAAAATATTAAACTTTTTCATAAATATGAATACAAATAAGTAATTTTTACTGTTCAATAAAAAATATAATACATGCCACAAAAGTAGGCCCCTTATGTCATTTTAAATTTAGTAGTGGCCACATAAAAAAAAAAAAAGGCAACAGGAAAAATTAATTCCAGTAACGTATCTTAACTCAATCTAGCCAGTCTCATTTTAAGATGTAATCAGGATAGAAAAGAACTGATGAGACATTGTACATTCTTCTTCTCACCCTGAGTGTGCAGGTCCACATGAACTTGGCACTCACATCTCAACCCTGACGGCCACGCTGCCAGTGTCAGAGCCACGTGTGGCCAAAAGAGCCACGTGCACAGCAGCACAGCTCTAGGGTCTCATCCTGCCAGGCTTGAAAATTACCCCCGACTTTAAGGCTGAGAGACAGCTCTGGTTTCTCGCAGACTCGTGCGGTTTTGCTTAGCAACGCCAGAGCCCCTGGAAACTGCTTCCTGCTATTTTCCTGGCCACATGAGAGGAAGGGAGGCGGGGGAAGCAGCAGCTGGGAACTTAACGCTCACGTGTGACCGACTGCTGCATGCTGGATTAATAACCTGCACAGGCAGGCAGGACCCCCCTCACCGCTGTGCGGGGCAGACAAAGTACCTGAACGCAGGCACAGCAGAAGCTGGCATAAACGACATCAGCATAAATAGAGGGATCTTGCAGCGGTTGTCCTAAAGCATAAAAAGGAAGACAAAGCAAAAGGGCATTTAAACACTGTGATGTGATGACAGCCTCCTCGCATTATTTCCTAACAACCTATTTTCAAAGTTGCTCAGTAGGAACTAGACTGAGGAACTCTTTCTGCATTCAATGGGAAAACCTACACCGATTGGGAAGCCTCATGTCTGATAACTGTTCTCAAAGTTCCATGTCATACTTTACTACTCTGTGTGAGGCATTACTTTGTGCAAATATTAAATACCTACTGTGTGCAAGGCACCAAACTAGATCCTGGGTTTACATCAATAACTAGAAATATACAAGATTTCTTGCTGCCAAGGCTCTGACTTGCATCGTAAAAACAATTGATGAAAGGAAAAAAAATTAATTGTACACAGCCAGAATCCGGAACATAAATCTCAACAGAATGAAGCTAGTCAGAGAAAATATTTTAAATGAAACAATCAGAATATCTTTAGGAAGACTCTCGGTGAAGTTTAATGGAAAATGTATAGGCTTTGGGTCTAGCGAGTGAAATCTAAGCCCACTCAGGTTCTGTGAGCTAACAGGCTGGACAACAGCGCGAAGAGGCTGGTCTCTGAGCATCTTTCCTCCTCGGCAGAACGGGCTGGGTCGCGGGAAGACCGAGCAAGGTGTAGCACACCACACCCACAGGGCCTAGAAGGCCGCGGCGCCTAAGAAATTATCACTACGCTACTACTGTTTTTATCACAACAACGAGGCAAACAGTAGGCCAGACTCCACCAGGACCACTGAATAAAAATATCCTTGTGGTTGGCTGGGAAAATGAGGGGTGGGGGAGCAAAAATAAAAACATTAAAAAAAGCAACAATTTTCCTGAAAATACACATGAAACAGAAACAGGAGCAACATGAAAACATGGTCTGTAATTACTCTGCATTCAGTCAGAGTGAACCCACCGTTACCCTTTAGAGAAAGTATTTTCTTAATGTTCCAAAAGGAGGCTGATAATTACCACTGATCCCACGCTCTGTGCGGCTAACAGGTTGTTTACTCACGTCCTCCATGCTGACTCCACGCTGTTCTCTGAGCTCCCAGGGCGGGCAGCTCTCTTGCCAGGATCCTTTAGAATTAAGTGAATTAACTAACTGAATTCCCTGGGTTCCTAGATACCCCCAGCCATGTGCTCATCTGTCAGCTCATCCAGTGTCTGTGGGCGTCTATTTATCTTCTGAGATTCTTGAGACAATGCTGGCTCCTCACTCCAGCTTTAAAAGCACTGTGACATCAGCAGCCTCGTGGTTTTCTTCCATGGACAGGACATGTTTGCATTTCAGAGGCAGAAGGAGCTCAGATATGAGTCACAGAAATGTGGCTCATGCAAGGAGTCTGCCGCGAGTACACTGACCAGGATGGGAGGTTCTTTGCAATCTTTCCATATTTAAACCACGCGCTCTTTATAACTGGGAATAGTGTGCATTTTGACTATCAGTCTTCTTTTCATTTGTTTTTGAAATATTAACTTTCTTCCCAAGTAAGATAAAAAGTCAAGGAATGAGGCTTCCTTCATCCAAATACTAGTCACACAAGTGGTTCCCTTTGCCCCAATAACAGACATAACTGGAACACTTCAGAAACCTATCTGCTTGCAGTGTGGCGTCAAACACCTAAAACTGCCCACAAACCAGGGGGGACTGCGCCCTGATGTTCACAAGCTCCTCCTCAATTCCCAGCCAACCAAACTGGATCCACCAGACAGAAAACCGACTGCTTACCCTCGACATGTTTCTGAGGACTGGGGACAGGGAGCAGAAAGGCGCGCTGCCTCCGCCCTCGAGAAGGGCGGAGACCCACTACCCTGCACGGGGAGAGCTGGCGGAGCCTTCTCCTCCCACAGACGAGGCCCAGGGCCAGGCAGGGAGGCAGACGGCTCTGCACCAGTGTCACTACAGTGCACCTGCTCACACGGGTGCCCATCTTACCTGAAACACTTTCAGGTACTCGGAGAGCACAGAAGCAAACTTGTCAATGGTGTAGACTCTGGCCTCCTTGTTGGTCTCCATACTTCTGTGGATGCTTTTCCAGAGAATCACAACGATTTCTAATAAACCAGCCATGGAAGCAACATCGCTTACTGACAGGGTTTTGTCCAGAACCTAAGATACAAATAATTTTATTGTGAAAGAATCGAATCATAACAAATACTAAGATAACAGCACTACCTTTGAAAGCACGCCTCAGAATCCTAGACCTAAAGCAGAAATGTAAAGAATATCAAGTCTGTTTTCATGTAACATGGCTCTTCTGTATTTGAGAATCTCTAAGAGGTAAATCTATTGTTAAATTAACCCTATATCCTTTAAATAAAGCCTACATAAATTAAAAATCCTCTAAAAATCAAAATGTATAAACGATTGTCTTTACCTAAGAACATAACACACTAGGGAAAAGCACGCTTTGTCTTTTACTATATCTCCTGATTTGTTAATTAACAGATGTCACTTCTCATCACAAACCTCAGCGTGAACAGACTGGGGGACAATAAAACCTAATTTACTTAAGTGTGATTACTACTAAAACTCAGTTACGAGTTCCCCCTCCCCCCCATTCTACAGGCTGGTAGGTAACACAAGGCTCTGGTGTGATGGCTGGTGCCAGTCGACCCCATTCCGCCATGGGCTTCCTTGGCTTGCTCTAAATTATACCCCATTTACATTCTCCACTTACACTGGCAGGGAGCATCAGTCAGCGTTACATTCTAAATGTTTACCGTAGGCCACAATGAACCACAAAGGACATACACAATTTTTTCAAAAACATTGTTTATAATTCTCCAAAATAATTAGCTTAAGTATTGATACTAAAGGAATGAATAAAAAAAAAAATCCCTAAGGCTAGCGAGAGAGAGAATTCCTTCCTTCCCTCCTTGAGTTCTTAAGTCTAGACTAATAATAAACGGACCACAAACCAGATTAATAGGAGAAAAACCAATTTAATATGTGCGAATAAAAGATGGTCTCTGAAATGAGGAGCCAGCCAGCTTTTTATAACTGTTTAGACGAACAAACAACAAATTTGTGAAGAGCTGACAGGACAAAGACACTTCGGTTTGGCTGTTAATTAGTGAGAGACATAAACCAAGGTTGGGCTCGGCAAGGAAATTAGCAAAAGAGTGATGTGGTTTGTTTATAAAGGCTTTCGGCCCTGGATTCGAAACTCTAGGCATTGTGGAACATTTAGGGCGGCCTGCTCTGGGGCTCGACCCTAACTTCCTCTGGAAATGACACCGCTGCCCAAAGGCCAGGGCTTTTTCTACCCATGAGGGCGGCGTGTCCCACTCACACTCACGTTCTCCTTCTCCCGGCCCTCGTCCTCCTCTCCACACTCTCGGATGGCCTTCTGAATGCAGGCATTCAAGCAGTGGCGGATCACATGCATCAGCTTTGCTAGAATGTTTACAAAAAGCAATCATTAACTTACATGTTTTTGCAGCAAAGTCACCTTCCTGGAAGGACAGTTACAATCCCAGGTAATGACAGCATTCTTTATGGAAATCAGTAAGAGCGGCACGCAGCATGCTGGGGACCGCGTACCTATGTTGGTGCAGGCCGTGTGCTCGTGCGCATGCTGGTAGAACCTGCGGGCGGCCGCGTGGTTCATCTGCAGCAGCGTGACGCAGCGCTCACACCACACCTCCTCCGGCTGGTTCACGGGCAGGAAGGAGTTAAAGATGAGGCTCACCAGACGCCGAGCCACAGGCCGGGTATCTGATTCCAGACGAACCAAGATGTGCTCCATGGGGCATATTTTCCAAAACTGTACAAAGCCAGAAAGCAGAAGGAAACCGTCAACTGTTCCTACCATCTTGAAAACATTTTAGGCAAAGTTTCCAGTGTAATCAAAAGGAACTGCATTTTATATTCGAGAATATTCAGTTCCAATGACTACACCAGAATCTGCGACCCTTCTGCGGAGAAATTAGAATGAATAAATCCTATTTTAAAAAGCCCTGATACTGTACTTCCCCATGTGTAAGACGCACCCTTTTTGGAAAATTTGGGGTCTAAAAACTGGGTGTGTCTTACACAGTGGTTGTAGATTTTTTTACTTCCATCTCCCGCTGAGGACGAGGCAATGTATGAAGACAGTGATTCGTCATCAGACACAGATGAGGACAAGCTAATGGCTGGGAGTTTAGACAGTGATGAGGAGTTGTATGAATTTTATGATGAATAAAACTTGAGTTCAATAACTTTATGTAATACATTTTTTTTCAAATTTCGGGCCCCAAAATTAAGGTGCGTCTTATACATGGGAGCGTCTTATACATGGGGAAATATGGTATATAAGGTTTCTAATTATGAGGCTGTTGAGGGGTTAATTATAATTAATTAGCACCATGCTTGATGCATAGTAAACTCTCAGATGAGAGCTATGATTATCCGTCTAATCATTTTAAAATTGCCTAAAACACCATAACTTTTGGCCCATTAATGTGAAAACTGACTTAAAAAAGTACAAGTTTTGACAGAATGCTAAAGTGGACACCCCATTTCCTACGTCGGAGACATAGAGGCATCACTCAGGAAGCCCCAGCTCCACCAGGACCCTCAGTCCGCAGCAGCACCCCCTCACACAGCATGCCCTCCGGCCCTCTCAGCTGGCTTGCCTAGATGACCACAGGGCCTCCTCAGGTCCACCTGACTGCTGCCAAATAACTGCGCACATCAAACGTGTCCTACTGCCCTCTGCTCCAAAGCATCAAAATTCTCCACGGCCTACAGAAAAGGGCCAAACTTCTAGGCAAGAAATTCAAGACAAGAGGAAAACATCACAGAATAACGGAAAGAAAATGGATTTTAATGGTGAAATGTTCAAATCCTGTCTCAGTCACTTATCAGCTCATAATCCTGTAAAAACACTTAGAGTTAACACAGTTTCCTCATCTGTGTAAAGGCGACACCATCACTGACATACTGGGTTGTCGGAAAAGTCATGATGCATTTTTGCAACGAAAAACAAGAAAAAATATGTCATGACTTTTCCAACAACCCAATTGCTTTTGTTCAAGGACCTGGCTCTCCCGATCATTTCGTCTGTCCAGTATTTTCCATTGGATCTTTCTTACTGGCATGTATTTTCATGTCATTCCAACCTCTGAAAAAGAGCCACACGCAACTCGATCCGAGTTTCCTGCCTCCTTCAGGACCCACTTCCGCTCCTGTACCCCCCTTTTATTATCTACCATGCGTCAGTCATTATTCTGCCTGGGGCCTTTGAGAATAATATGTGGCTCTGGCCCCTCTGACCTCAGTCCTACCATGGCTTACACGGAAATAAAAAGAAAGGGTGGGCCGGCCGAGTGGTGCCTTGGTTAAGAGCTGGCTTGGGATGCCAGAGGGTCCCGGTTAGGATCCCACATATGAGGGCCAGTGACACTGCCTTCCACAGCTAAAATGAACAACAGCTCAACCTGGAGCTGGGCTGCTGTGAGTCGCCGGCAATGGCGTAGGCTACAGCCCCTGCTGCAGTGGGTTACCATGGGCTACCATGTGTAGCCAGCAGCCAGCGTGAGCAGCCAGCAGCCACAGTGAGCGGCTGTCCAGAAACCAGCGACTGATCTGCCTCGCCCGGGAAGAGCGCAATGATGGTGCCAACTTGGGCCAGTGAAGCAACGTCCTCCACAACTAGACTGAAGAACAAAAGNTTCCCATCCCCCCAATTCCCCAATAAAAATCTTTAAAAAAAAAATGAATCAGTGTGTGCCCCAAACGAACCTCTGCAGAGACCTCACCTTAAACCCCTCTGTGCCTTGCCGTTGCAGAGGGTTAAGAAAACAGAAGCACCTCACTGAAACACTAAGCCCAAGCTCCCCAGGCACTTCTGTCCTGTCTTACCTCTCGCTCCCGTTCTCTTGGGCAGACCCATTAATAAACCCAAAATAAGTGCCCTCTCCATCTCCTCACCAGCCATCACCTCAATGATCCTTTGCAAACAGATTTACAGTTCAAACACAACACTAAGCCAAAAATTTCCCTTTCAGATGCCGAACTATAGTTTTAATAAGCTGTTATAACATATTCAATCAAAATTGCAACTGGATTTTTTGTTGATCTTGACAGGGTGATTCTAAAATTTATATGGAAGGGCCGGCCGAGTGGCTCAGTTGGTTAAGAGCTCGCTCAAGAGTGCGACCTCTGAGCAATAGGGTTGCCGGTTTGATTCCTGACCCAAGCTGAGCTGCCACTGAGCTGCCAACAGGTGGCAGAATGGCTCAGCTAAAAATAAAAAAAAAAACAAAAAACAATCCATGTTATTTGGCAGTGATGAGGCCTCCCCAGAACCCCATGCCAGGCCTACCATCCCCCGCAACTCAGGCAACTGTTACTAAGGTCTTGTTTCCTTCCAGGGATATTTTATGTGTATCTGAGCAAATACGTCTGTGTCCCCCGTTTAATAAGCTGGTGGTGCACTCCACACGACTACACTTGCTTTGATGCTTCTGTCTCAGTGGTATTTCCAGCTAAGCTCATTCCTTTTCCACTCAAAGCCTTAAGTCATAAAGCGAACGCACCACAGGGCTGTGCAGCTGACCCTATGCTGATGGACACGCCAGCCTGTTCCCAAATCCCATGCTGTGACGAAACAGCATTTTAAAGTAAATTTCAGAAAACTACTGAGTGGAGGAAGAAAACCCACAAGTAATAATATCAAATAATCATGAAGTTAAGAACCTTATAACTAAGATTTAGCCAAAAGCTGAAGAAAACTCGAGTTAAAGTAAAACGCCATGTACATTATAATAAAACTAATATCTCCTTGCTTCCTTCTTTAAAATGTGGGGGAAGGGGAAATCTCATATTCAACATTTTTCTACGTAATATTTAAGTGCTTACTATATGCCAAGCATTTAAATATTTCAACAAAAACTTTCATGCACGTGATAAAAATATAATTTAAGGTAGGTGCTGCTTACATTAATGTCTTTCAAAAAGAGAACACACATTGATGCTATTTCTAGAAACTTCAATGAAAATCACAACACAAAATTTTATGACAGTGATGAATGGTCAACTATACCAGACATCAATTAGTTTAAATGTGACCACTAAAACTCTGGAAATTAAAACTGCTTTGTCTTTTTGTTGATGAAAATTTACTTATTTTGTGTCTTAATTAAGGAAAACCCACCTTTACCTTACCTTAGCAGCTCTCACAGCTTTAACTTTAAGCAGCATGTCAACAAAAGCCACTCTCACTTTCTCCGAATTGTCATGGAGACTGTATTTTACTGCTGGCAAAAGCTGTTCTAATAACGGGTGGCTTAATTTGTTATCCAAAATTATTGGCAGACACTACAAGAAAGGAGAAAGATAAGAGTTCAAAATTAGAACAAACAAAAAAAGTTCAGGTAAGAAAATATTCAGTTTCATTTTTATGAGAACTGCTAGTAAAATAAACATAACTGCAGAAAATAACTTTTCTCAGTTTCATGCAAAAAGCTTTGAATGAACTTTTAATGAGTTAATAGTTTCAATGACTGATAATCAGTTTATCCACTGTTTCATTCAAACAAGATTTAGAGTGGTTGCAAAATGACATTTCAATACTTTCTCTTAAGTTTTAGGGAATTGAGGGTGGAAAGAAACAGAACAGCTGGTGGGGTGGGCTCCAAAGCCAAGGTCCCAGCACCCTTTAACACACTCATTCTCTGTACCTCCTGACTCGATCCCGCATGGAAACCAGAGGGCACGGGGCCCCCAAGTCTCTCAGACGTGTACCCCACATGGCTTACCCACGTGCACCCTGGAAGGATGGCGGAGCGACTTGCCGAGACAAGCTCAGCCCAGGATCCAGCTTGGAGGAAGCTCTGAGGCAGTCCACCATCTTCACTTTCCAATTAATAGGAAAAGGGATTTTTTCTTTTTTTAAGAGACCTTGTATTTTAAAAATCACACTTAAATATTTACAGATGAGTTATTACAATGCCTGGAATTTGCCTCAAAGTAATTATGGGAGACAACAGATGGGGCTACAGATGAAACAACCGGATGTGTCCTGATAACTGCTGAAACTGGATGAAGGGAGAAAGGATATTTTTGTAGGCTCTTATTCAAAGTGCATAGAGTATACCAGAAAAGACAGTCTTAATGTGTAATAACTTTAAAAAATTGTAAGTACATACAGCTCCTATTTTAAAGTGCTGTGCCCCCCACTCCACAGACTAAAAACTATTTCTCCAGGAGACATTTTTGTAGAAAACACTTTCAATTTGGTTTATTGTACAAACCCTTACTTTGGATATACAACGAAAGTGTCAATAGTGCTGTATCTATGTAAGATTACAGGTGATTTTTAAGTTTTTCTTCCTCTGCATTTTCTCACTATTATTCTACCATACCTAAATATTGCTCATGTAATTTCACGTCTTACCTTAAAGACCGAGCAGCGCACATCAGCTGAGCTTGTGTCAAACGCCAGCTCCCCCGTGACTTTCTTGAGGAGATCAATCAGAATGGTGGGGGGCATCATTTCCCAGTACTGGGACGTTATCTTACAAACCCCGAGTATCCCTGTAGAACGGACCATCGGGTAAGGATCTTCTAAAAGGCTCTGTAAGTAGGAGGGGAAAAGGCTTCAAAACCTTCAGTCAGCTCCCTTTCTATCAAGGTTTGCTTCACCTACAATATTAAGAGTGTGGGTGTTCACAACTTAACAGACACTTCAAGTTATAGAAGCACTGGCCATGCACAGACTCATGCTCTCTGGTCATTATCATTTGCAGCTGAGTACTGAACGAGGACAATCCAGGTATATGGGTGACTTGTCTGCCAATCCCATCCAGAGGACGCTGCAGGCGGACAGAAGGGCCTCCGGCACGGGCTCCAACATTCAGTAGAGTCTGCAAACTCTGGTCTATCAGACACACCCTATGTACGCAACCCCTTGTCTTGAATTCCCAAAGCTCTGAAATGCACTAAGCCCAGAATAAAGATTCTACTTGTAATGAGTTAACCCAGACAACCGTCGTCAGTGGTTGGCTCGTAAAACAAATAGGGACAAGACGTTATGTTTCCCTGAGGAAGGCACACAACGGCTCCAGGAAGAATCAAACACAGCAAACAAAACCCCACAAAAATATGACTCTCATCAACTCTACATTTAACTACCAATTTACAGGAAAACACACAGGGCAGAGGAACATATAAGCAGCACTGCAGGTTCTGTGAAACCCAGATTGAGGGAAACAAGGGAACAACTGGGCTTCTTCAACAACAATAGCAAGAAAGAAAGAGACAGCAGAGAGATTGCTGGAGAGGGAACTGATAGCCCCAGAGACTTAAACAATACGCCGGCCAATCATAGCATATGGCTCTCATTTAGACAGAGTCACACAAAACTGGAAAAAATGTCATTGAAATGCCACTGAAAAACAATGACTGGATATTGATGGCAATAAGGAATCATTGTTCGTCTTTCTTTAGTTGTGACAACGGTAATACTTACGCTTAAAAGAAAATCCCTATCTTTCAGCAATACCTACAAAACTGTTTAGAGATGATCTGCTTCAAAATGAGGGAAGAAATACTGGGTTGTCAGGAAAGTCATGACACATTTTTGCAATGAAAACCACAGAAAAAATACGTCATGACTTTTCCAACAACCCAACAGATTAGGCTTGGGACCATAACTACTGAACCTGTTATGGGTACACAGGGGTTCAAACACCAGGCTCTCTACTTATGATATGTGAAAGTTTCTATTATAGAACTTTAAAAACAAAATAATTCTTACTCCATAATTAGAAAAAAGGGGGGCGGACTTCAGGTTAGGGTAAATAAGCACTTCCTTCCTCTCTCCTCCCTAAAAATCACCAAAATGACAAGATAATAGCGATAGCGATGCCGGGGACAAAAAGACTGAGGGCTTTCTATGAGAAAGTGAAAAGGGCAGGTTCATGAAGAAAGAAAGGAGCAGCACAGGTTGTGACCCAGACACCCCTATGTCCTGCCTGCAGAGCTCAGGCCACCCGAAAGCCAGGGTCAGGACTACAGGTGACATAAGAGCTGCAAACAACTCTATGGACACAGGTGGGGGGGTGTGGAATAAGCATTTGCCCCCAGAATACATAAGCTGCTGGAAAGAGTTCTCAAAATAGGTATCGGGGGGTAGGGCACAGAAGAGCCAGCAATAACCTCCACACAGGGAAAAAGAAAAGACAATGCCACCAGGAAGGGAGGCTCCCCCCACCTGGCAACTGTGGGGTCACCAGCTGCCTCGTCACCTCGTCACAGAGCCAAGGGGAATCGCAGCTGCTGACGAGCCCGGTCCACTGCCTACCACGCCTGGCTTCCCATGCCAGAGGACGCCCACGGAAGACACAACTGCACCACTAGACAAGAGTCCATGGCAACGACCTGACCAACCAGGCCCTTTATCCAAAACAAGAATGAAAAGTGAAGATGACAGGTCACTTGAGAAAAAACAAACAGCAAGAAAAACAGATGGAAAAAACACACCAAAAAATAGAAGAGAACTTTAGGAATCGAGGGCCTATCGTTAGAATTCACAGGCTTTATAGATTGTTTTGTATGAATTACTTTCAATATTGTTCTTCAGCAGTGTCCTGGATCATCACCTTAGAACCACAGTCTCACATGACCGCAGGGCCCACCTGTGTGTCTCCACCCAATCACACTGTCACCAGTCTCTCTCAAACGACAGCACCTCACTTGTCATGCTCTTTCTACAAGAACCATTGAGTAGCAACATCTACAGACACTCATGAGAGCCTCAGTTTTTTATCTTCAAAGTCTCCACATTCCTCAAGTTTAAGAAACACTAACAGAGACAAAAGTACAAGAGAGCAGTTAAAAGGCACAGGGGAAGACACGGGAACAACTGCTGCTAAGTTTATTGGATTAGCTCCGTTACAGGGTCTCAGAAAAGACTCAATCCATCATACGATTGTTTCAACTTTCTGCACATCTGAGGCTTTTCATAATCAGTCAGAAAGGACTTTGGGAGGGCCATGGGTACAATCACTATCACAGCGTTTTTGCTATCACTACCAAAATGGTTTTCCATTAACTAGGACGATAAACAGTACTTTTCAGCTTGTGTTAGGAAACCACGCAAAGGGAACGTGGAGAAATAAGCAGAGGGTAGCACTCTCCAGCAAGAGGAAAAGGATCGCAGTGCTCCTGGGAAATAAATGTCGCATCCTTGCGTCCTAGCATCTCATCTGAAAAATCAGTCATCTGAGAAAAACAAGGGCAACAGGTGTCATCTGTAGGCCTGCCTTAAAACAGCCAGTGTGTGGTCATTCGTGCCACCCACACCTTTTCGGGAGGCAGCATCAGCATCCCCAACTCAGAGACAGACAGAGAGACAGAGACAGAGAGAGATCGAGAGATAGAGAGAGCGAGCGATAGAGAGAAAGAGATGACTTGCCCAGAGCTACGCAGCTGTCAAGTGAGGGGTGGAATCAAGCCTGGGGGTGTTTTCAACCCCTATTATAGCCTCTCTGCTGGGTAGACAAGAGTACACCTAAAACGTTTACAACTGTATCAAGTGATGAATGGTGAGATGTTCCAAAGGGAATGAGGAGGGAGAGAAAAGGATGCTCCAGCCCACACTGCTGCAGAAGGCCCCAGGGAGAGAAGGGAGTCCCTTGGTGAATGTCATGCTCTGGAAAGACTGTCATCTGTGGGGGGTGAGGCAAGGCGCAGGCAGACACGGGACAGCCGACACACGCCAGGCCCGGGCAGAGCTGAAGTCGTAAGGAGCTCGACTACAGGAAATACGTACATAGAGCTCTTCAAACTGCTTCTGAATTTCACTGTCCATTTCAATAGCGTTGAAGTTTGGATCCCTGATAGGAAATGCTTCAATGAATAGCAGTGCAGCATTTGACCGGACTTCAGAGTTTCTGGCCTGGAACGATGAAAAAAGAGTGTTTCAGAATCCCAAGAGGACATTCAAAGGCCTCGGTGCAGAGTTCCTAGAGTACAGCTCCTAGGATCTCAGCATAGACTTACTCAGGGGTTAGAGACAATCGTAACATTGACACTGACCATACCTGTGAGACCTGCCTCAAGTTAAGCCTCTCAGTTTGGTGTCGACAGATAGAAGGATCCATTTCCTTGCTTGAAATCCCACCTTGTGTCACTAAGAAACAGTGCCCATCATACCCCACTCCCGACACCAGTTACCTGTGTGTTCACGTAAAGACTCACTGTTGTCACCCTGGCTCCCAGTCACCAGCAGAGGTCTTGAGGGACCAGGATGGCCCAGCCCAGCTCTGTAGGCCACCACAACTCTGCTGCTTTAGTTAGCGTGACGACTCCCCTTCCAACAGGGTAGTCAGCGCTAAGCCAGTTCAGAACCCGAGTTTAATACACCAGAGAAGTGCTTTTAATAAAAGAATAAAACATCCCTCCCAAAATTTCACAAAGCTCCCAGCCTCCAGTCCTATTTCACTGCCTTATTACAACTGTGAATTACACTATGCTAAATTCAACGGCATAATCAGTACATCCTAAGCATGATGGACGATTTAGCATGCACACCTTTAATCCTCTCCATAGGATGGGCTTGTATAGTCTGTAAAGCATCTCTTCCACTCCCTGCCGAACTCTCTTCTGATGGTGAAAATAACTCAGCATCTAAGAGCCAAAAGAAGAAAGCAAAGGTAACGTTGTTTTAAAAAAGCATCTGAGATCCTATGTGAAAAAACCCACAAGGAGAGCGGGCTCTCCACCGAAACAGGCACTCGTGCTTCTGTCGCGACAATTCTTTCCTAAGAGGAGCTACAGTGGGCAGGCGTGTGGAGAGCACCAAACGTGCTTAGTCTCTGGAAGAAAGCGTGAAGGAATAAAAGCCAATGAGCTTGGGCTATCAAAAGGTTTGGTTCTACTGCCTGCCGTCCTTCCATTAGCCACATAACCCATGACCTCCAGGATCATGGAAAAGGAGCCAGCTAAGTGGTTTCTGCAGCCCATTCGGGCTCTGACCTGCCGGCTACGACTCTGGTTCTAAGAGCCTGTAATGAACATCCAGAAAAGACAGACGCCGTGCTCAAAACGAGTGTCACTGCCCAGTGACCCTTCACGGCACGAGCTTCCCGTGGACACCAAGTGCCTCCACACGTCCGAATCACCGGGAACCAGGGCTGCTCCTGGGGCGCCTACGCCTCTGGCCTTTCGCCCCACTTTTTCCCAGCCAGAACCTCCCTGCGACCCCTCACAGGCTTCTGTCCCCACAACAGCCAGTTGCCTCACTTCCTCACTTAGCAAGCACCTCCAGGAGCTAAGCTATGTCGGTGAAAAACAGAATAAAAAAAAATTAAACATGTTATGAAACAACTTACATACTTTAAGTGAACCTGAATCAACTTTACCCTAAAAGAACTACAGTTTGGGGATTATTTTTTTTTATTGCTAATTCTTTATTTGGGAGGTTTTATTGATTTTGATATGTGATATTAGTCTACAGTTTGTTTTTTGTGTACAAATTTATCAAGTTTTGGTATCAAGGTATGCTCACATCACAGAAAAAATTACAAACGGCTTTATTAAGATAACTCACAACACATACAAGTCACTCTTTTAAAATGCATAATTCAGTAGGTTTTAGTATATTCAGAGTTGTGCAAACATTACTCTGATCTAATTTTAGAAGATTTCCATCAACAATATGGGGATTTTTATTTCAAATGACTTCTCAAGCATTTCCTGAAGCTTCTTTCAACACATCAATAAAATAATTTAACATATAAATATGATGTTTATCCAAAAAAAAATTTGAGGAAGGAGCTATAATGTGTTATAAGCAATGATAACCATTACTTAAGAGTTCAGGAGTACATTTCAGTTGAAAAGTGAAAGTCAATATTCTTCCTTTTAATTCTTTATGTGCATTTTTCCATAAATTTACCAAACGGTGACATCTGTACTTACATTATCTTAATTACTCAGACTAGCACAGCAGAAAAATCAGATACGAAAAACATTCTTTAGCCATTTGGCACCAAGAGTGACGTGACTGTGTCTCACATCTGTAGTTTAACACGATGCCATTCACATTCCTCATGACGAAAGAGCATATGAAACACCAAACCCGCATGTGAAATAAATGACCCAACTGACCTACAGCTTAGTGAAGCCACGCTGGGGCTGGGGCGAGGGGACACAGTTATCTCTGGGCTCTTTATCTTTGGGTAACTCAAACTAAATCACTGATAACATAAAGAAATGTTTTCTTATCCATTCAAGCTTAATTAGAATGTTTACATTCTACAAATAACTGTAATTTCACTACTCAAAAAAGTAAAGAGAGAGCCTTTGTCCTGGTCAGCTTCTTGGCACATGGTTGCCCAAACTAGCGAGCAAACAGCAGGCAAACAGGGCGTCAGGCAGCTAAGGACGCTGCTGACCAACGTAACAGAGGGGACTTTCCAGTTCCTCCCGCCAGGGCCACTGCGCTTACCAGACACCTATCCGTGTGATAATGGCACTGATAACAAAGCCTTAGTCAGACCACTTACAATATGAGGATAAAATTCATATCCAAATTATGAGATTACCTTTTGGAAACAAAATCTTATAAAGAGAAACTAAGGAAACATTATTCACTTGGTTTGCAGAATATCAAAATGGAAATTTAATGTACGAACGCAAATAAAAATAATCTCAAATATCACCTTTCCTGAAAAAAGTGGTAATCGCAGTTAGAAACCGATGATTGAACATTCTATGTCAAATAGTTTAATTAAGGTGGTTAGAATAAAGTTCTGATGTCGTAACAGTACACCTTCCTTTCCTAATTAAAACTTTGCTGGCAGGACAGAGCTGCCAGACACCAAATATCAAGATTCTGAGAATCCCAATACCCGGTGCCCATGAAAGCTTAACCGAATTTTTAAAGTTAACAAAACTATTATCCACAAGCGAAAGATGTGGCGTGGTTTTTGGGGTGCATGGTGAAGGCCGCACTCACCTCTCGCACTTTGGGGTGCACTGGGGACCTCCGCGGCAGGTGAATCCCGTGGTGCATGAAGTCCTGGATGCAGCCATTTTCAATCTCCTGGAATAACAAGCCAAGTGCTTGGTGTGTGTGTGACCTGACCGATGACGAGACAGCAGTCTGAGGACAGGAGTCTGACCTGTTCCTCTATTTCATGAGGGAAAAACCTGGACCCCTCCATCATAGTTTTTCTTTTTTTTTCTTCATTTTTTAGCTGAGCCGTCCTGCCACCTGTTGGCAGCTCAGCGGCAGCTTAGCTCGGGTCGGGCATCGAACCGCTGTTGCTCAGAGCTCACACTCTTGAGCAAGCTCTTAACCAACTGAGCCACTCGGCCAGCCCCTCATCAGAGCTTTTCTAGTGTGAGCGGACACCTTAGCATTCCTTTCATTTGCATAGAGCAGAGAACACTTAGCCTTCTTCTATCTTATTTGATGAGACAGCAACGTGTGCTAACGAGCAGGGCAAGCCTCCCTTCCTAGAGGCTAGGTCAGGCCAACAGGACTGAGAGACCGCGTGAGGGTGGGAGGCCTGTCTGCCTTGGCCGGATCACCTCCGAAGGCTGGGTCTCCCCAGAACTGACACCGAACTACCTCGAAGGTGGGGGCCAGGATTCCAAACTGAATGGAACGAGATCTGTCATGGCCGCCACTGGGAGGGGTGTGGTGTGGGAAGCTCCTCCTTAGGCCAGGGCACCAGGGTCCTCCCGCCAGCACCAGCCCAAGCCCCCGCTGACATGGTGGCGTGGCGTGGCCTGCCGTCCTGCACCCTGTGCCACACCTGGATGCCACGGCGGCTTTCAGGAAGGATGGAAGGAAAGCGTTCCCTAATATCAACCTCTTCTCCCTGCTATGACGTTATTTCCTTCACTACCTGTGGGTGACAACACACTGTGGCACTTGTCATGTGCGCGAAATTTGTGGCACTGCATGCTCAGTATTTGTGCCACAAATACTCCAGCTTTAGGGCTAATCGCCAGGAGTATGGACCTTCTACAGGACAACTAACGGTGTCTTCACCAGCAGCAGCATAGGTTTTAAAAACATGAGACAGCGGGAAGGGCAGATGCTCTAAGACAGGGGTGTCAAACTGGCGGCACGCGGGCCACATGCGGCCCTCAAGGTAATTTTTTGTATACTCGCCGTCAGTAGTTAAAGGGTTAACAAGGGAATTGTGTGTATGGTATTGCCTCAATCTCCCCTAAGCGCTATTTTCTTCATAACAATTTTTTCTATTTTCATTTTATTTCAGAGCATCGTGGACCACAAAAAATTACCTTGAGGGCTGCATGCGGCCCGCGGGCCGCCAGTTTGACACCCCTGATCTAAGAGACTCGAATGACACACAGGCAAATGCCACTGGGAGACTTGCTGGATCCTGATTCCAAAAAAACCTGTGAAGACATTTTTGAAACAAAGCTGAGAAATTTAAATATGGCTTAATTATTTTAAAAAATGCCCAGGAATTGCTAATTGTGCTACACACGTCTGGCATTGTCACCGTGTTTCTGACAGGCACACTGGCACACACAGATGAGACGGCACGTCTGAACTTGCTGAGAAAGTGGGAGAAGAGGGGGGCCTGAGAAGTGGGGCTGCTGGTACTAAGTCGGCACAGATGTAGTCAGATCATAAGGTTTTAACTATAAACTCCTACTTTTATAACCACTATTGGAAAAAAGGGGGACAAACACTCCTTCCTGTGAGCAAGTTTCGTGCAGTAAGAAAACTGCCATCTCATGCAGAACGATGTTCTGGTTTGCCCACCCCCCACCCCCAAATTATACAGTGTCAAACTCTTCTAGAAGTTGTCAGCAGGGGCTGTGAGGGATAATCATTTGTCCTCTAAAAGTAGAGGTCAGTGATGACCCAGTCGTATAAGCCAAGCTCCAGCTGGGCAGGAATAAACTCCAAACACCAGGTAACCTCCCACTCTGCCTGCAAACCTCTGGTCCACACACACCACTTCAGGGTCTGCTCCCCAGACAGGAAAGACCCCTTTTGACTTCAGAGTAAAAATTTTACTCTCAGGGCAAAAGGAAACACACTTGAGGGCCAGCCGAGTGGCTCAGTTGGTTAAGAGCTCGCTCAAGAGTTTGAGCTCTGAGCAACAGGGTCCCCGGTTTGATTCACAGCCCGAGCTGAGCTGACAATAGGTGGCAGGCTGGCTCAGCTAAAAAAAGAAAAAAAAAAAGAAAACATACTTGAGAACGTAGTGTGAGAAAAACATAAGGGACATCAGAGGAAGATGCTTTCTTTTGATTTTTTTTCCAAAAGTGCCTCTGAATATCTGATTGTGAATTACATAGCTGTATCTTCATAATATCTACATTACACAGTCACTGAAGGTTAGTCACACTCAAAATAAGTGTCTTTAAATCTCAAGAATAATGTAACTAACAGAAGTGGCTTGAGGTTCCTAAGCAGCACCGCCCAACAGAAACAGGTGAGCCACAAACACTATTTTCAGTTTTCTAGTGGCCACATTAAAAACAGAAAAACGAAACAGGTAAAAATCCTTTTAATAATATACTTTGTTTAGCCCACTATATCCAAAACTATAATTTCAACATGCAATCAATATTTTAAAAAATATTCATGAGTTATTTTATATTCCTCTTTCTCCGTACTAGGTCTTCAAAATCAGGTGTGTTGTTCACATCTACAGCACATCTCAATTCAGACTGACCACATTTCAAATGCCCGGTAGCCACACATGGCTGGACAGACAGGTCCAGAGCTACCAAAATGACAGGGGTGAAATCTCGCTTTTACTTCAACTGCACTTCTCAGTGAGTGATGGGAACTTGGAGCTGTGCTCAAGCCCCAAAATGAGTACAAATGAGAGTGAAGACTATATCACACAGAGTCTCAGGATTTGGCCTGATTTTGACAGATGGCATCAACGTAGGTTTTAGGTGACCCTGCTATGACTACTTATTTAGTAACGAGACTATAATAAAAGTAGTAAAATGAAAATACCTCCAAGATTTTCCCTGAAGCCTTTCTCCAAGCTCTGAAATAAATTTCTGCGATGTGTACCACCAAAGATCTATTTAAAAAAAATTTTAAATGTTAATGCATGTTCAAAGGATTATACTTTTAATATATATCATTTCAAGTACTCTCCTATCCTAGGGAAGAAGAAACTCAGTTGAGACTAGTGCTTTGCAAAGTAACCGCCGAGATTTGTTAGCAGACTATAGCAGAAAGTAGAAAAAAAGGAAAGTTAGGAGAAGAGGAACTGAAATGTCAAACTATTTGTTTCTTTCTCGGTTCTGGCTTCCCCAGCACTTTACTAATATTTTCTATGAAACTATGAGAACACAAGCCCAGAATCAAATTCTTAAAAACATTTAAATCTAAATAAAAATTTCAAAATCGCCAGGTTGCTAATTCCTTTAAATGCCAGTGTTGCTTTCAGAATCAGTTAGGGCTCTATTGGTTCAACCCAAATATTCTGCAAATGAGGAAATAGGAGAATGCATCTCGTAAACAGCAGCAGCTTTGCAATTAAGAGATTCTGAATCAAATCTCAGCTCAACATTTACACAGTTGCCTAGCAGAGGGAAGTAGCCACCAGGCCCAGGTCAGGAGTTTGAGGGTTCGACTTTCCAGTGCCGACTAAGTACTCAGCCCCTGGGCACAGAGAACGTTCCCATGAGTGCCGGACTCCAGGTGGGCCCAGGTAGCCCCGGGAGGGGTGCGTGTCTCTGCACTCTCCCTGCAGGGCCCTTCCCACCAAACTCCACGACTCAGGCCACAGCAGATCGGAAAGCAGACATGACATCCAAATGGCATCGTAAGTACTAGTGACACAGCTTCACTGTGACTGAGGCTGAGGGTTAACTGGTAAATAATGCCACTATTTAAAGAACTACCACAAATTAAAATCTCAATTTCAATGTCATTACTGAAAAAGAATGATTTCCTATAGCAGGGGAAAAAACTATCCCGTATACAACAGCCCATAATAAATAACATAATTTAAGACCTAATTTTTATTTTTTTTTTAATTTTTAATTTATTTTTTTATTGCTAGTTTCAGGTGTACAGAACAATGCAATAGTTATCCTTTTTACCCTTCACACAGAAACAATCCCCCTCCCCCATCTAGTGCCCTCCCATCCCCGATATCATGCTTACCTATTACAACTCCATTGACTCCATTCCCACTCTCTACTCCACGTCCCGTGACTATATGTATATATAATTATAGTTGACATATAAGACCTAATTTTTAAAGCTTCCAATATAACTTTTTTAAAAGTCAGGTCAAATAGAATCTGTCAAGTCGAGATTAAGACCGCACAAAATATTAATCACCTTTCATACTTACTTTTGTAATCCCTGTAACTGGTTTTTAATGGTCCCATGGATCATTTTAATAAAATTTACATTCCAATTGAAGAGAGAACTAAGAAATCTTCTTCCCTATAAATTAAAAAAATAGGATATAATGATAAAATTGCAACCAAATAAAATTACCTGTAACAAAACCACAATTCTTTGGATGCTTACTAACGCTGACACTGGCTATTCCGAGCAAAGGAAGCCTCCACAATTCTAACTCAGACCCCACAGGCTGAAGTCCACTCCTGTGTGGGGACAGCAGGGCAGCAGGACGAGGGCGGGAGCCTCCCCACTTGAGTGCGCAGCATCAGACACCACTGAGCACCTTGCCTGCTGGACCCCAGGGCTACATAGTCAGGCAGTTACCACACTGCCCAGCCGGTAAGTTACATGGCCCATTCACATTTTATTCTGTCATCAATTTCCACATAACCTAAAATCAAGGAATGCCTGAAATCTCGGGTGGGAATGGAATTGCACATCAGTTCATTTCATCTTGTATAAATGAGAAAACTGAGGACTTGTACAGTTAAAAGGCTAAGACGTTGCCAAGATAGAATTTTCAAATACATACAGTCCCCAAATTATAAATGGCAAACATGTATCATGTAACAGTCAGTCACATGTCGCTGACTACACATGTGAACCTAAAAGCCAGGATATGTCCTCTGTGTTGAGTGCACAGAAGCACCCCCAGGAGTGCCCTCCGGGCAGCACCATTGCCTCGTCACTGCTCACCAGCACAGAGCTGTTGTCTGCGCAACGACACCGACACACCACACGCGGTGACACCCATTGCAGGGCAGCCACGCATGCGATGGGCAAGTTAAACCCAGTATTTACTGCAAAGAACTTGGCAGCAGAGTACCCGATATTCATCGTTTACCCAGCACGACTGGAAACTGACCTGACCAAATTAATGACTGATTAGGAAATTAAGTTTAGATATCTTCAATTCCAAAGAGCAAGTCAGTTGAAACAAAGAGTTTTAACACTCACACGTGCTTGTCTATGTCCATGCTCTATACGTGCTCCTATAGAGAAGTTAAACAAATGTAATTCATCAGCAGTATGGATAAGCCAATATAAAGTATGTTTGTCTGAATCTCCACTTTTAACTTCTTTACTGTCCCCAGATTTCACAACAATCGTGGACACATGCAGTGTCTTCTGTAAGGCTGATGAGGTGTCAACAGTAATAAGCTCATCAGAGCACTGCCCGGCCTGGGCTAAAGGCTCTGCAAGCATCACCACATGTGCTCCTCACAGGAACCAGTGAGAAACTAACTGTTGTTCCCACTTTACAGGAAGAAGCACTGAGGTTGAATGTAGTCTGACCAAGGCTGTAGTCTGACCCATGAAGTCAACAAACAGGGATCTGAAAACAGCCTTCCTGACCCCAGAAGCCAAAGGTCTTGGTCAGTATGGTCATTAATCACGTATGGCCCTTGACCTTGGCTGGCTGGAGATGGTGCACTGGAGTGGACAAGCCGGGTCCAATTCTGTCTCTACCACTGACCAGCTGTGACCTGGAGCAAATTCTTCATTTAGAGGCATCAGAACTGGGACTCCGACGCCTCCTCTGGGAAGTCTTTGCCCACCTCCCTCAGGGAGGAGTGATGACTTCCCCCTTTGCCTCAAACACGTGTCTAGGCCACGAGCAAGCCAACCCAGAGGCTGCGTGGCACAAGAGCAGCAGCAGTCTTCTCTGCACCCCGAACATGGGAGCATGGTCACGTCTAATGAGCCACTACCAAAAGGTCCTCACACAGCACAGCCGCACTGCCCCACACTACCAGGCAGGCCGCTCGGAAACCTTTAATTCTCTAGCAATCATCTTCAGAAAAGTAAAACAGGTTAACTTTAATAATCCATTTATGTAAGCCAATATATCCACAACATTATCACATAAATGTATAATAAACACATAACAATTATTAACAAGATATTTTACACTTTTTTTCATGCTAAGGTTGAATCCGTGTATTTTACACTCAAGAACACAATCTCGCTGGCCACACTTCACGTGCTCAGTGGCCACATGTGGGAGTGGCCACCAGGACGGATAGTGCAGCAGAGGGTCAGAAGCCTCTCTTTGGATTTACTGGATGGGAGCAAAAAAGAAGTCGAAAGCACTGTTGCGGATGGTTTTGAGTACATGCCAATCAGCCTGGAATGAGGGCAGAGGGTCAGATCTAATCCATGGGGAAATGCTTTCTCAACCTTATTTTTAATCACTCTTAATTTAAAACGCAATCTCAGTTCCCCCAGGATTGCACAGCCACCTGTTACCACCCGATTTAATGAGGAAATAAGCAATGACTTGTAATATGTTTGCTTAATACTGCCATGCAGTAAAAATGAGGTGCAATCTTAGCTTGAAAGCCAAGATGACTCTTTCATTTAAACACTGTATATCCAGGCCGGCCAGGTGGCTCGGTAGGTTAGAGCACGAGCTCTGAGCAACAGGGTTGCCAGTTCGATTCCCACATGGGCAGTGAGCTTCGTTCAAGCTGAGCTGCCACTGAGTCAACTCCCACATAGGATGGTGGGCTGCACCCCCCTGCAACTAAGATTGAACACGGTACCTTGAGCTGAGCAGCTGCAAGCTGCCGACGGGTGGCCAGATGGCTCAGTTGGTTAGAGCGCGTGCTCCTAATAACCAGGTTGCCGGTTCGACTCCCGCATGGGATGGTGGGCTACACCTCCCCCACCCCACCCCACCTCGCAACTGGACAGAAAGTGGCGACTGGACTTGGAGCTGAGCTTCCACCCTCCACAACTAAGACTGAAGGACAACAACTTGACTTAGAGCTGATGGGTCCTAGAAAAACACAATGTTCCCCTTCCCCAGTACTGTTCCCTTCCCCAATTCCCCAATAAAATCTTTAAAAAAAAAAACACTGTATAGCCAACATGCAAACAGCAACTATACAAACATTAACTATACGAACTTAGGAAAAACATGCACTAAAAAGCAGTTCACAAATAGACCAAAAAAGAGAAATCTATTTACCTCTTCCTTCTTCATATAATTAACATTAATGAAGCACTCAAGTAGCATATTTTTAATTTCTCTACTTTCCTCCAAATCATAATCAAAGCAATATAGGGCTTGATGAATACGCCAAAGCCGACATATGTCTGCTCCCTAGGAATGACATAAAAAAGAAAAATGTTAAGAGTTTTTTAATAAATAGTAAGGTCACATTTCAAATTAACTGTAATACTTTATATTATAAATTACAACTCTAAATTATTCATCAAAAAGAAAGAATGACAAGACAAAACAGATTTTAAAATTTGCAAATGTCACCTGCGACCCTAGAGAACACTTTTGTAAAACACAGGCAAAGCAAGTGGACCCCTGGTGCCCAGCACTGGGCAGCAACTTCCTGCGATGGAGGATTCTGAGGCTGCAGTCCAGGGGCGCAGCCGTCAGCCCCATCAGGCTGTGGGACAATGAAGTGTGTGACTGGGGTGCCTGAGGAGCCCGATTTTTTATTTTCTGAACTTTAAATTTAAGTGTAAAGAGCCCCATGTGGCTAGTGGCTACTGTACCAAACAGCGCAGGTGTCAACCATTAGGAAGACATTAAGTCTTGATTTAAAGGCTCAACAAAAAAGGCAGGGAAAATAGATTTTAAAAAGATAAATCAATGATGGCTTAAGGATAAGTTCTGACATAATCAGGGGTTTTCAATCACTCCTACAGCCCACAGGAAGTCAAATAGCTAGCTGAGGGTACAGCCAAAAGGGTCCTTAGTGCCACAAAACCGACTGAGACAGATGCTCACACTCAAGGCAGGCCCAAGCTTTCCAGAAAGCTGCAGGCAGCATGCACTACGGCCTCCAAGTTCAAAGAAAAGGAAAACAGAGGAAAAAGAGCTCCAAGTTCAAACCCCCTGCCCGACTGACCTACGAATTTCATTTCGAGAAATCTGTCATAAGGAAAGATACAAGAGGGGAATGTCAGAGAGAAATTCCTAAATATCCCTAACATGACAATGATCACCTTGAGTGATTGAATTATGGATTTTTATCTTCCTCATTTTCCCTTTTCTTCACTTGCCCAATTTTCTAAGATGAATGTAAGTATCTGTTGTCTTGAACAGGGGGAAAAATGTTCTTTTTCTGGATTTCTGAACTGCATACCAAAGATTAAAGGACAGAAACAGCCCATGTCCCATCCAAGCTGCAGACATGCTCTCCGCAGGTCCTCAGGCCTGGGCTGCAGTCTGAAAAGACCCCACGCTGGGGGCACGTGCACCTGGGTCTGCCCCCGATGTCCCCCACAGGGCACGTCCCATCTTGTCCACTCCCGCGTGGGCTCTGCCTCTCGGAAGACCACACCGACACAGGCAGCTCACCCCAGGCTCCTGTGTCAGTCTTGTTACTCCCTCTGCCTTGAACTCACACAACAAAGCGGAAGTGGACGAGTCACCTCGCAATCATAAAGTGACATGAAGGAGGACAAGGGGCACACACATGAGGGAGACGGAGGAGAAAGCCTGCACACGGCGATACCGAGGAGCCACTGCCCCTCCTTGACTGCCAACCCTGAACATCCCGCAGTTAAGAAACACCCTGACTGGGGAAGCCACCAGTCACGCCCCTCAAGAGAAAACACACCTCCTAAGTGACACGAACACGCGCACTCTTTAAGTCAAGTTCGCGTTTAGAAAGTGAACCCACTGTTTTTGTCTCGAGGCTCTTCCTGAGCAGCATGATGAAAGCCGTCTTCCCCATGTCTTCTTTGGCAGGCAGGCCTTTCTCCCACCATGTAACGCACAAGTCCTGAATGGAACTCTGCAGCTTCCGTTCAGATTCAGGCAGCGCGTACAAGATACCTGCGAAAGTCCAGTAATTGTTCAGTCAGCAGATTCAGAGTCAACAATGCAGAGAACAGTGATTTACAAAGGTTTGCTAAGCGAATGTCAGTTTATGTTTAAGTTGCCAACGATTGACATACGTACATTATAGAATATAGACGATGTTAATTAAAATATTGTTTTCCTATTGTTATGAAAGCAGGCCCAGCAGAAGAGAGGATTTCAGAACTGGAAACTCAGAGGGCAAGCTGTCCAGGCCCCTAATTTAAGAGGCAGGTTTCGAGGCCCTCCAAGTTAAGTCCAACGACACGATGGTGACAGTTCTCCAGAGCCAGGTCCAGTCAGCTGACAGGGAATCCACCACAGCCATCCCTCGGTGTGCTGACCTCAATTACTGACTCATGGAGGAAAAACGGTAAAAGCAACTACGATAATGAATACAAGCACTGCAGTGCTCTCATTACCAGAAAAGCTGCAGAGTTCAATGCAAACACTCACAAGGTACTCACACCTGTAGCCCACAGGTATCTGAACAACTCTCACTAACGGAAAGTTCCTGAGTTAATGGGAAGCTGGGAACAACCACGTGTTAGCACTGATCAGCTCACCAAACAGTTATTTGGAGGCTGTGCAAATAAACACACTGTTAGTAACATTCACAAAGCACTTAGGAGCTATCTTTATACTGACTTTGGATGACTTCTTAATAAGATGCTATTTCAATGCAAGAATTCTGAATAAAACAGCTTACTACACAGATACACTGAGTCCAAGTGATGCTGAGAATGAAAAGCTTGGCGACAGAATTTGTCACATGAAACCACTTACAGTCACACAATGAAGCGAGGGTACATGAGAGCTTCTTCTTAAAAATCATTACTTAAAATTACTTCTGTATCAATAATTTTATTTAGTATTTTATACTTACATCTTTTCATTATTTTAGTCTAGCATTCCTCCTAAATTAATAACTATAGTTTTACACTTTAGTTAAAACTTGAAAAGTACCGTGATACAAATTTTAATATAAGAAAACTCCCCAAGAGTCAACAATTATTCCTCAGGTGATGTTCACGACATATTTAAAGAAAAAAAATCAACATCACAAATGTTGGGTTAAACTGCCACTATCTCGGCCGGCCGAGTGGCTCAGTTGGTTAAGAGCTCGCTCAAGAGTTTGAGCTCTGAGCAACAGCGGTTCGAGGCCAGCCCGAGCTGAGCAGCAGTTCAGTTCCTGGTCTGAGCTGAGTTGCTGCTGCCAACAGGTAGCAGGATGGCTCAGCTAAAAAAAAAAAAAAAAATCCATTCTAAACTGAAACTATCTCCATCTGAGAAATTTAGATTCAAACTATTTTCCCTTAATAAGCTCTCATTATTGGTCCTGTAGGTCAAGTAAGACATTCGTGAAAAACCTGCAAACAATGGCAGTCAGTTGCTCAGTAATGCATATTTCCACCATCTGAAACATTTGTATGCAGCTTACACTAAACTATTGGGTTGTCGGAAAAGTCATGACATATTTTTTCTATGTTTTTCATTGCAAAAATGCGTCATGATTTTTCTGAGAACCCAATAATTACTCAGGACAGCTCTTGAGAGACTACTCCTTTGCTCCTTTTCTGGCCCAAGTAGAGCCTGGTTGCTCAGTTACACCTTCCTGGCACTGCTGCTGCTGCACAGCCCTGATTCCCTTTCGCAGAGAATCATTCAGACGCCCCACTTCTAAATGTACCACATTATGACAAATCAACTCACCATTGAGTATCACAGTACATTCCAGTAAGGCCTCATAGTTTACATGTTCATTTCTTACAGATACAGAAGCAAGAATCACAGATGTAATTGCATGAATTATTTCTATGTTTCTTTTCTATAAATAAAAAGTCAAAGTACAAGTTAATTAAAATCAACTTAAAATTCAATTTCTAAAAAAAATGTAACAATTACCAAATTTATAAAGATCAGGCCACACTTGTAGCTTATTCTAAAAAGTGAATTAAAGCTGTATTGCAGCTGTCGGAAAAGCACACCAACACTGATTACTGGATTCATAATGGCAGAACGAGAAAAGGGTAAAACTACAAGCGGTTTCTAATATTCTTGACTTCTAACTTTAAATTTGTTCTTAACTTAAAATTCAATTATGCACAATAAATAATTATTTTCTAACCAAAAAAGGGGGAGAATATTTCATTTGTGACGGACCAAAACTACCATTTTTGAACCATGGTCTGTCTCCATGTTGTCTTCAGCCTGGGTCTCCACTGTCTGCCACCCGTCCACTGGGCTCTCTAACAGCACATCTGTGAGTAAATTCTTGAGTCTTTGCCATAGCTCTTCTTTCTGTTTCCTTGATAATTCATCTAGTAATTCATTTAGGTTGAAAGGGTCAGAAGCATCTTCCTATAAAATAAATAGAAAGCATTACATTTCATGCACAAAAAATTAGTTCCATCGTTTTCATAACGGCATCAAAAGAAAATTTTAGGTACGAACTCAGTTACAAGTTCAAGAGTTTGGTTGTAGTTGTTAAAAGCCATTCCTAAAAGGGAAAATACACAGGTTATCAGGCGGAAAGTAGCAGATTCCTCCTCCACCTACCTATTCAGCTTGAGTATCCTAATTCTCAGAGTTAAAATTTCCCCCACTTCACAAAATCCTCCCTGAAATCCGTCTATGCAGGTGTCCAGCGTCCCCAGGCCTACGGTCAGTTCACGGAAGTATGCCAGGGCCCAGGTGGTAATAAGGCAGCCAGGCCAACTGCTAGCACTCTGAGTGCCTGGTCTCTAACCTGACTCGAGCCGTCAACACCCACCTTCCAGGTGTCTGTACACACCATTCTCCTCGTTAGCCAATGGGACCATTTGAGAGCCACTCAACTATGCTTCAAACCCCTGAGCCAACCACCACTTCCTCACTGAGCAGGTGACCTCACCCATTCTTTGATATAGCAAATGGAAGCCATTATCAACAGGGCAGAGAACCCAGCTTAGGGGGACCCCCTGTAGCCAATGTGAGCACCAAAACAGAGAGAGTGATGGATTATAACCCACAGAATAAAATGAGAATCAGTGAGGCCATACTGGCAATACATACACACATACAAATAATTAACAGCACATGGAATGCCAAAGGAGAAACAGAAGAAATCATAGTCATTACTGTGATAACTGATTCCCGCAAGAATCATCAATGATGCTTGATGTGTGTGGAGCGCGGTGAGGAGCAAGCAGGGCAGGGAGCGCGTCGCACCACTTCCCAGATGACCTGGTCATTACGAAGGTGGAGACAGCCGCTTCACAGTGGAGAAATCTCGTGGACGCCCCCGTGAGCCACGATTAAAACTCACATCCCCTGCAATGGGGCACAGTGACAACACGTGCCTGCACTGAGGAGCATGGCACGCTCCTGCCAAAACGCGGAAGACGAATCTAATCAGATCATCCGTCAGACAAACGCAAAGTGAAGGGTATGCCACCAAAAGGCTGCCCACACTCTCTAAAACTGTCAGCATCATACAGTGAGGTCGAGAAACTCTCCAGATTAAAAACACTAACAAGTCGGCCGGCCGAGTAGCACGATGGTTAAGAACTGGCTTGGGATGCCAGAGGGCCCCGGTTCGGATCCCACATATGAGGGCCAGTGACACTGCCCTCTACAGCTAAGATGCTGAACAACAGCTCAACCTAGAGCTGGGCTGCCGTGAGTCGCCGGCGACGGCGTAGGCTGCAGACCCTGTGGCAGTGGGTTGCCATGGGCTATCGTATGTAGCCAGCAGCCAGCAGCCAGCGTGAGCGGCCAGCAGCCACAGTGAGCGGCCGTCCAGAAGCCGGCGACTGATCTGCCTTGCCTGGGAAGAGCGCAATGATGGTGCCAACTTGGGCCAGTGAAGCAACGTCCTCCACAACTAGACTGAAGAACAAAACGACATCAACTTGTCTGTTCCCCTTCCCCCAATTCCCCAGCACTGTTCCCATTCCCCCAATTCCCCAATAAAAATCTTAAAAAAAAAAAAGAGTGGTTATCTTTAAAAAAACAAACAAACAAAAAAAAACACTAACAAGTCCCAACAACCCAAATGCAAAGTGCGAAGGTGGATGGTGCTGGGTCAGGAAAAAAGAAGCATGAACATGTGTCACCATGACAACGTCAACTTCCCTGACAGGATGACTTCTTGTAATGCAAGGTTGTGTTATAAACGCACTTCTCTCATAAAGAAAAATAACTTCGTCCATGTTGCTAGCAACAGATTTGTTAGATTCCTCTCTACTTCTTAGATGTCACCGATTTGATTTTCATGACATGATCAGAACAAGCGAGGCCTGGGTCCTCTGCCAAGGTCACAGAAGGAGTCGGTGCCTTAATCACCGGGGTTCCTCTGAGTCCCAAGCTGGCTCCTTTTCTCTCATCACACCACACAGATGACCCAATGCTATCCCACAACGAACGCTTCCCACTGGAGCCCACGACACGCAGATTTGTCTCGAGCCCAGACCTCCTTCCTGGGCTTCAGACACACCTGCCCACTGAACATCTCCTTGGTGCACGTGCCCTGGGCAGTCATTCTACGTGTCCAAAATTGAGCCATCTTCTTTCCATACCTGCCCTCTGTCCACTTCATGACCTCGCTGAACGGCACACGGCAGAAACCAGGGAACCTCTTTGGCCCTTTCCCAGCCTGTGTCCCATCAATCCGGTGCCATCACCTACCACGTGACAGCTCCCAAGGACAACCACACCTCCCTGTTTCCACGTCCTAAGTCAGCCCCCATTCTGAAGGGCACAGCCTCTTCCTGCTCTCCATCTCTCCTCTGCCTCCCTTCAATCTATTTTTCATGTGCAGCCACAAAAATATTTCCAAAGGGCAACTGTGATTTTTGCCATCCATCGCTTTTGTCCCACTAGCTTTCTCTCCCTCTTCTGTTCCGTTCATGCAGGTCACACTGCTTAAAGCCCCCAACGCCCCTGAGCAGTCTCAGCTCTTTCCACGGCAAAGCAGGCCCCAGGGCTGGGCTCTTGCCCTCTTCCTCAGCCTGCACCACTACACTCTACCCCACACAGTCTTCAGGCTCCCACACACATCCCTCTCTAGTCTTTAAAGTTGTGCCCTCTGGTTACAGCAGTCGTTCCTGCGCCTCTCAGATTCCGCAGCCTGTCCACTGGGATGGGAAACATTCCACGGCTGGACTGGGAGCCCAGCCCATATCCTTGCCCCAGTTCAGCCCTTACTCAGCTGTATTTACACACCGGGACCCACCGCAACACTGTAAATAACCCGAGGACAAAGGAGTATCTTGTTTTCCTATTTCCTCACTATGCCACTTACACACGTACAAAAGAGCAATAAATATGTAAGTAAGCAGAAGCACATTGCATCACAACACTCAGCATCCTTACAGCACCTCTCTTAAAAGAAAGCAGGAAACAGAATTTGTGAGTAGTTGCCCATCAACTGGTCTATATGAGTATAGTTTGTTTCACTTCTTAAAATAAACCTTGGGGGCCACCTGAGTGGCGAGATGGTTAAGAACTGGCTTGGAATGCCAGAGGACCCCGGTTCGGATCCCACATATGAGGGCCAGTGACACTGCCCTCCACAGCTAAGATGCTAAACAACAGCTCAACCTGGAGCTGGGCTGCCCTGGGTCGCCGGCGACGGCGTAGGTTGCCATGGGCTACCGTGTGTGGCCAGCAGCCAGCGTGAGCGGCCAGCAGCCACAGTGAGCGGCCGTCCAGAAGCCAGCGACTGATCTGCCTCGCCCAGGAAGAGCGCAATGATGGTGCCAACTTGGGCCAGTGAAGCGACGTCCTCCACAACTAGATTGAAGAACAAAACGACAGCAACTTGTCTGTTCCCCTCCCCCAATTCCCAAGCACTGTTCCCATCCCCCCAAATCCCCAATAAAAATCTTTGAAAAAAAAAATAAATAAATAAAAATAAATCTTGGACTCATGTCTTGTGGGGGAGACCACTTCACAGTCGGTGTAGAGGTCTGACCACCACACTGTATTTCGGAAGCTGATGTTGAATAATATTGTATGTCAACTATAATGATATATACATATTGTCACGGGACATGGAGTAGAGAGTGGGAATGGAGTCAATGGAATTGTAATAGATAAGCATGATATGGCGGGGGGAGGGCAATACAAGGGGAGAGGTGGGTTGTTACTTTGTGAGGGTGAACAGGATAACTATTGCATTGTACTGTACACCTGAAACTAACAATAAAAAAACAAAACCAAAAAAAAACCTTGGTCCCTAAGGATTCACTGAGATGACGATATTTCATTTACGGACATAATGCCTTTAGAACAATGTTTTACATTAACAGTCAAAATCACAAGAAAGCTAAACATAAAACTTACAGCAAGTTGAACAAATTGCAAAAACTCTTCAATCAGCTCCTTGGACACCGCTTGTACAAATGTCTCACGCTTTTCCATGCCAGATGAACCGTGTTTCATGTGGCATTTATTCTGTAATTGCGGAAAACACAATCATTCAGAAACTTGCATTTGCAAATATATCTTCTCCAACAAGATGTAATTTGGTACTGGCATCCAAAACCGCAAGAAAAATCCTCTACCATCTATGGTAGACAGCTTCTGACAATATTCTGACATAAAACAAGTTATAATACCTAAAAAACAATTCCCTTATTTTTATTACTGACATAGTACCAGCAAATTATGGTATTATCATCTGTTAATGAAACTGTCACCTAAGGAAAGAGACATCCAAAAAGGGGCCTCGGAGGGGCACCCTTGTCAGGAAGGCGCTCAGGCAGGTCTGAGTCAGCCCAACAAGGACAGGCGACCCAGCTGCTACATCCTAGAGACCCTCCCCTCCCAAAGGGCCGGCCCTCCCACGCACAGTCGGCTTGTTTTTCAGCCGCACAGGGTCACCTGGGAGCCTGTCGCTGTGCATCAGCTGTGCCCAAGCACAGCGGGCCCCCGCCCCACGGGCCCTGCAGGGAACCAGAGCTCAGGGGTTTGGGGCTGTGCGCTGCCAGCTCCCCTGGGGGTCCCCCAAGAAGCCCTGTTTCCCACTTACACCACCTGTACTGGCAGAGGCCTGTCTGCAGGACACCAACCCGAAGATAAAGCGCCAAAGGATGGAACAGACCACATTTTGCCATGTGTAATGCGCACCTTTTGGGGGAAAATAAGGATGCGCGTTACACATGGGTAGCGCTGTGCTAATTCCGAGTCCCTGAAAGTTTGGGCCAAAAACGTGGGTGCGCACAATACACGGCCAAACACGGTGCCTGGAACGGCCCCTCACGGTGACAAGACACGGAAACGCGCCGTTATAAACAGCGATATGGGAAGTGACTGGTCCTCGCGGCGACCGCTAGGAGGACGCAGAGCCACCTCAGACACAGACCCCAGGTCTCGGGGTCTCCAGTGAACCCGCAAAAGCGGGAAACAGCTTCCCCACCCACGAGCCTCTCAAGTGTGGCCACCTCCTCCCCGGGCGCAAGGGGAGCAGGTTCGGCCCACGGGCTCAGATCCGCCGATTTAAACAGGAGCCGCAGCTGGACGGGCGGAAGCGGGCCGCGCCCCGTCGGCGCTGACAGCGGCGAGGACAGCTCCCCGGGCCCCAGTCCTCGCCCCACGCTCCCCGCCTCCCAGAGGCTCGCTCGCCGTCCCGGCCGGGCTGCGCCCCTCGGGGAGTGACGGCCATGCCTCCGCGGGTCCGAGACGCGCTACAAGGAGGCACCGCGCCGCGTCACCGTCCGCAGGCGGCGCCCCAGCCTCCCGCCCGCAAACCTCCTCCGGAGCAAACGCCCGCCTCACCGCCGAGGCCCGACAGCGGGCCCCGGGCGCGAGCCGGGAGCTGGTCCGCTCCGGGGGGACGGCGCGGGCGGCGCGCGCTCGGGGCCTCGGTGCCCGTGGCGGCCGCGTCTCCTCAGACGCCAGCCGGGCCATGGGCTCGGACGCGGCCCACGCGGAGGCTGCGGTGCTGGGGGCCCGACCCGCCGAGCCCCACCGTCTCCCGGCCCCCGGCCCTTCGCCCTTCGCGGCCCGGCACCGCGGCGCTCACCTCGCCCTCAGGGTCCGCTGTTTCCCGCGTTCGGAACAGATTCAAAACCGCCCGCGCCCGCGCCCGCGCCCGCGCCGCGCTCCGCCCGCCCGCGCGTCACCACGCGCCGCTCTCGCGAGACCCGGGAGCGCCTGGGTGGGGCCACTGGAAGGCGTGCGTCCCGCCCCGCGCTCGGGCCCCGCCCATAGGTCCGCCCAGTCCAGCGCCAGGGTCCCGCCCACAGGCCCGCCCATCCCCGCCCAGCGCCCGGGCCCCGCCAACAGGCCCGCTCCGCCCCGCGCTCGGGCCCCGCCTCTTCCACGCAAGCTCGGATACTGGTATTTTTAAAACTGTGGCATCACTCAAAATATATTCAATGAAATCTGAATACTCTAGCAATTGGATACCTGTTACTTTGAACTCTTATTTTCATTCCATGTCTCCCTCATAATTCTATCCTGATGTAATATCTATTTGTGCTATGCAGTCTATGGACCCTGTCTCCAGCACAATTATATATAAATTGATTTTTTAATATTGTGTGACCATCGTGCTTTAGATTTGACAGCTTCCACATTTAGTGGGGATATAAACAGCTCAAAACAAAATTCATTATAAAATTTGTTAAGTACGGATTAAATATGAAACTGAAATTTTGTTGAAGCACATCTCTCAAGGCTATGGTTAACACTGCTTCTCCCAGTCACTTTATGCTCCCAAAGATGAGGCTTCTAATCTGCTTTTCATTTTATAGATGTAAACACTGAAAAACTTCTTCACATAAACAAGGGGCAGACATGGAAAACTCATAGCCATGTCCTCAGCTAATTACTTGATTGGGCTGCCCTTCAATTTTTGTTGAAAGCAAAAATTTGAAAACAACCTGAATTTCAAAAAGATTTTTTTATCCAGTCATTTGACAACATTCACTTTGTCAGTTTCTAGGGAATATACCAAAAAACCTTTACCCAGGTCCATCACATTACTATTAACTATTATATATCAGTTACTTTTTCATTTCAAGGTACTTTGTCAATACCATTTTTTTATTTGTTTTTTTTTTGTTTGTTTGTTTGTTTGTTTGTTTGTTTTAGCTGAGCCATCCTGCTACCTATTGGTAGCTTAGCGGCTGCTCAGCTCGGGCTGGCATCGAACCGCTGTTGCTCAGAGCTCAAACTCTTGAGCGAGCTCTTAACCAACTGAGCCACTCGGCCGGCCAATACCATTTTTTTAAATAAAAGCTTTTATCACTTGCTTTATGTGTTTTCCCCACACCTTGGAGAGCTGCATATTTAAATCACTTAGTTTATGAAGAATGTCTTCCAAGACAATCCAGCAGGTAAATCCAGGGCTCCCTGTGACGCTAATCAGCCCAAGCAGAAGTAACTGCCAGGAAAGCCTGGGAGAGGATCGCAAACTCCTGAGAAGTGGAGTGAGTCTCCCCGATGCAGCTCTGATGTCAGGGTAAACTCAGGGCTGCCTAGCCTCAGCCAGTCCTCCTTGCTCCAGCAGCGTGAGGGCCTGGAAGAGGATTGTCACCAGGGGTCCAGCATGACCACTCCTAGGCTGAGGCCCCGTCTCGTGAGGCTTTTGTCTTGTGAGGGGAAAGGGAAGGCCCAGAAACCCACATTCCGTGTCTGGGTGCTGTCCTGACACGCCCTGCGCTCCCTGTTCACGCCTGTCACACACAAAGGCCACACCGCAGGCTCTGCCATAGCCTTTGTTGTTCCCCTTGTCTTACTCACCCCAACACCCGAAATCCTCAGTCCATTGACAGCAGAATTCCATGTGCCCAACCTGCCTGCATGACCCCCACCTCCATGCCCCAGCCACTCTCTGTGAGGACATCCCCCCTGTGACTCCATCTTTCATTCTTGAACTGTCCAGAGTGGATTCTGTCTCAGACTGAACCCAAATTAACTGGAGGTCTCAGGGAGGGCGAGGTGGGCGCCACTGTCCTGGTGGTCCGATGGAAATATAGTGGGAGCCACAGATTCAACTATGGACCCCCAGTAATCACACTAGAAAAGGTAAAAATCAGTAGGCGGGGCAAATTTTAATCATGTTCCTTATTAAACCAATCAGATCAAAAACATTGTCATTTCAACAATATATAATTATAGCCTTTTGGGGAGCTGGGGCACTGGTCTGTGAGAAGGCTGTAGCACTGAGGCGGGCACAGGAGAGCCCACGAGAGCACGGGGGCTCTGATGCATGTCAGCAGGGGTCCAGTGTAGCCAGTGACCCACATCACACTGGGGGGCCAGCCCCTCCACCTCCCCCTCCCTCTCTGATCAGCACCCCTCCCCTGCAGCCCCCCAATGCTTACACATTCAAAAGGAAACCTCGGTTATCAGCTTCCTGAACAGCCTTCCAGAAATACTTTCTGCCTAATAAAAAGTATGTAATTTATAATTTAATCATAATAATTATAACGGAAAATAAGCTAAAAAACAGGTGGCCACTGCTAATAACTTAAAAGCTCACTATACTGACTGATTCCAAGGAGCTTTCCTCAGCCATTCTGGGCAGAACGCACAGGTGGAGCAGCGTGAAGGGCCAACAGTCCCTGGCCCACACCACCCAGTGGCCTGAGTCACGGATTCCGAGAAAGAGGGAGTGCTCCTGGCTACGCAGGAGCCTGCGGTGGGTGGCAGGAACACGCCCTTCCTTTCTGTGGTTTTACACTGTACTGTCTCTAACAGTTTGAACTTGGGCACTGTGGATGTATCTGAACAATTAGAGACAAAGCAGAAGTACTGGAAGCTCAGGGCCCACACTTGCCCCCGACCCCCAGATTGGAACCCGCAGGCCCCACAGGACACCTGCTGCACCCCAAGTGAGACCGCTTAGGGAAAGCTGGGGTGCACAGAGCAGAGCCCTTTGGATTCCGGGAGGTCCCGAGTTTGCCCTTTCCCCTCCTAGGCTACATTTCTCCTTTAAGACCATTCCGACCTTTCCTTACAGGAATCTGCATGCACCTCCTGACATGGTGACCTTGGAGAGCATGGAGGGGAGGGGAGCTATCCACCTGCGTCTTCCCCCTGGGTCCTGGGGAGGGGCAGCCCCTCCCAGGGAGACCACCGCAGGGCAGGGGCACGAGTCTCCCCAGCGGGTAACTCAAGGAGAGATGGGTGGCCGTGTGGTCAAAGGCAAAGTCTCCTCAAGGGCATGTTAGAATTTCTTGAGCTGCTTATAAGCAAGAATATGAAGCCTAGACCTTCTCCAGGCCAATTAGCTCAGAGGATTGGGGGATACCAACACGCTGGGCATTAGTATTTCTTCATTAGTATTAGGATCCCCTCATGACCCATACACGAAGGTTAGGAGTGGACCTCAGAAAAGATGGAGGAGCAGGAAACTTGAGTGGCACAAGCTTGAAATTAACAATGCTGATGTTGTGGGTCATGCTGAACCCACAGCGACCGATCACTGGGCCGTGGGATAAGGTGCCTTGTCGGTACCTTTCCAAGTGGGGCACCCAACACAGGAGATGATCACTGCCTACCCGCCACCCCAAATGCACCAGCATGCCCCAAAGTGGACACAACCCAATGTCCCCAAAAGAAAAATGGACAAACTAGATGGGGCCCATCCATACGCTGGAGTGTCGCTCAGCTGTAAAAAGGAGCAAGGACCTGCCCCCAAGACACGATGCTCAGAGAGCAGCAGACACAAAAGGCCACGTGATGTGTGACCCACTTGTCTGACATATCCAGAACAGGCGAATCTACAGACAGGAAGTTCAGGGGTCGCCCCAGGCTCCTCGCTCTGCATCCTCTTCCATCCATCATGCTCAGGGGAAGAGCAGGTAGGACACAGGTGGAAAGCAGGGCGGGGAGTCTGAGGAGTGAGAGGAAGCGTCAGAGGTGAGGGCACGGAAGGAAACGAAGCTGGGAGGTCCGGGCCTCGGCGTCGCGTGCTTGGTCCTCATTCTAGGAGCAGAGGGAAACCGTAGGCTGACCAGTTCCATTTGCTTGGAAGGATCCCTTTGGCTGTTGTGTGGAGCGTGCAGGGGTGGGAGCGAGGAGCTAACGCTTGACCGCTGGGAGTCGACTGGTCATCAGCAAAGGCAGTGGCTTGGACGCCAGACAGCAGTCAAAGTGGGTATATTCTCAAGCAGAACTAAAGGACTTGGCACCTGCATTCGGGGAGAGGCAGAGGGAGGCGGAGGGATGGTCAAAGTCTCCGGCTCAAGAACCTAGACAGACAGACAGGACACTGAGGCCTCCAAGTGCAAGGCAGTAACAAGGCAGCTGGATGGGCTGTTCTTGAGCTCAGCAGCAAGGTCTGTACTGGAGATACACATTTGGAAATGAAGGAGTATCCACAGGATTAGGCTGAACGCAAAGTAAAACTACAAAAGGGACCAGAACCCACACCTGAGTTGCTCCGGTACTCGGTCTGCTTAGAGGAGTCCGTCCAGAGCTTGAGTGGCGGGCAGCAAGGCAGAAGGGAGATCCAGAGAGCCAGGTGCTGGAGAGGCCAGGGCCCAGGGCAGGACTGCAGCACCTCCGGGACTCGAAACCCACAGCCTGCACCCGAAGGCTCTATACCAGAACTTAGCTGTTAAGATTATGAAATTAGCCTTCTCAAGAGTGTTGTCATGTCCTGGAGCCTGGAGGCCTGCCTGTCAGTCTCAGGGAGAATGTGAAGCTACACTGCAAGGGAATGGGAGAATCTGGCCTGTTCTGCATACGAGCATGGGTCTGTTTTATTGTGGTGACATCACTTACTATCCCAAGGTGTCCCACACAACTCCGCAGGCTGGAAGACCACCTGGCCAGCCACAGGCCCTGCAGAGGATGCTGCCAGGAGCTAAACAACCAGCTGAAGCTGGCACAGAGCTGACCCATCAGCACAGCCCATGGCCCCGGACCCCTCACTCAGGACACTGATGTTATACCTTTAGGCCCCCGATTTTGAGTTCGGGGTTTTAGGTAATAGCTTCCCTTTCTCCTTCATGGGCCCTGCCAGAGCGGCCGATTCCTCCGCTGCAGCTCTCGGTACTGGCTCTGCTGTGCGCGGGGCGGACGAACCCTGTTCAGGTTCAGTTAGTCCCAATCTCAGCAGCGGACACCTCCGGTATTTCCCCTCCATTTGTTCAAAACAACGTCCATTTCATTACTTCTCAGTGCAGTGGTATGAAGCACGTTTCAAGTATCTCCTCCTCGTAATCATCTCTCAGAAGGGTGGTTTTCAAACCCACAGTCTAAGGCGGGCAGATGAGAAGGCAGCTGGGAGGAGAAAAGGGGAGTGATGCCAAGGAAAGGACTCGCAAACAGCAAATGCACACACGGGACCCACGAGTGCTCTTCAGATTATCTGGTCCCACGCTAGAATTTTATTTTCAAAAGACAAAGGAGAAACAAATCACAAGTGAGCTAACATAAAAGTTTATTGAATAAATACATGCACTGTCATGTAAAATTAGCTGAACAAAAAGGGCGTCCTACAATAGAAACTCTCTGCGGTTTCCCATTAGCAGTGGGCGGTCCAGCTATTAATAGAATTGGAGTCAATGTGAAAAACAAGCACAGTTTCAAAGCACAGGTTTGCATCTGGCTTAGGTTCTGGCAAAAGAAGGGCTGCGCCCTTGATGCAGAGAATCTGTGAAAAGAACGCCCCTCATACAGAACATGACTTGTGGTAAATACAACCACTAGGCTTCTTTTGTTTTCATTTGAAACTTTTATTTACACTTTGTATTTTAAGGCACAGGACAAGCCACCCACATGTGCAAACTAAGAGACTTCAAATTCATTCCCGTGAATTTCCCTCCCCTGGTTTGGCTCAGTGTGGGGTAGTTACAGTTCCCTTTCCCTGGATGAATCGGTCCTTAGGACGGAACTGGAACCCAGCACTGAGAACTCACAGGGTGCTCCACCGACCGCCGTGCGGGCAGGGGAATTCTCACCCTCTCTCCCACAGAATGAGAGCTGCCCTCAGAACGGCGATCAGCGGACAGGATCTCGCCTGGAGGTGTTCTCAAGCCCTTGGAAGGAACCAAGCCCTTCCTTTCTTTCCTTCCCTCTGCCAGGGGCCTGGGAACCTGCAGCTAACAGGCTTTGTACCTCTCATTGTATTCACTTTACCTAACTGCTGGAAGGCAGCATCCCATCAATTAAAATACACTTGAAAAGGTGAAGCACATGGTTGCAAAAGCCAAAAATGTAAGATGTTGGTAAAAATTACTGTATGCCAAATTGCAATGAGTGTTTCTTCTTAGTGACAGATTATGCCATAAGCCCTTTAACAGACCTAATTTTTAATATATCTTCAATCCATCTGCTACCATGGACAGGTACCTGTCTTTCTCATGCTACTGAAATGGCCCGTCAAGTGCTCTGTGCACACACATCCACGTGTGCGCCAACGCAGCCGTAAGTATCCTCCTGCATGTTACATAGGACACAGTGAACGCAGACAAGTCTTTCTGATGACACGCAACGTGCTGCGAAGCTGCAGGCTCCACTGTAAAGAAACCCAGGGTTCAAAGTGAACGAAACAAGATGACAATCCGCTGGGAACAGGAGTGCGCAGAAGGCGCGGTGGGCGTCCCCGCAGGCACCTGGGCACGTGTGGGCGGTCATGCGAGCAGTCGAAGCCCATGCAGCACTTTCTGACATGATCGCCCATCGCCGCCACATAGCGCTATTTCCCCAATGACTTGAGAATGTTCTTATGGCTAAGGAAGTCATTTGCATCGTCCAGCTTAAAACATGTAACACCGCCTGCATCCTTCATTTATGGCACGCACAGCTCACGGCACCGCCATTTGACACTCTGAAGTATGTAAAACATCCTTTTAATAATCTAAGGAGAAAAATATATTCCAGAATAAAAAGTGTGTAACAATAGTCCAATAGTGAGGCCAGTCGTGGCGTGACGTAAGGACACCCAGGAAAGGGTGGTTTGCAGCCAACACCCACTGTGCCAATGCCAGGGGGGCCCCGTGGCGGCCTGTGCGTCGAGAGCAGAGCGACCCCCAGCACCAGCTTAGGTGACTGATCTCGCGTGAGATGCCACGCTGACGAATGCAGGAACCAGCTCTCAGTATTTAACCCAGCGTCCTGACACCCGATTTATCTCACAGTCTTTTATGGTGACGGCGTGAGCTTGTCTTTCTTTACAGGCTGAGAAAACACGGGAAGTTAACAAGCTCACGATGGATTATTTCACAATAGCCTAACTGCTAACATCGAAAATCTGTCTGTATTATATTTTAGGGAAAGTGTAGTTGGGTTTCTGTGCACTATTTCATGAATAAGTTATAACAAGCAATTAAAAATAAACTTAAGACATTTTGTTTTACATGAGAGATTTCAGATTAGTATAATTTATGAACCGTGACAATTCCTCTAATATTTTATGCTACTCAGCTATATAACACTTTTCCTTAGAAGCACTTCAACCGACTTCTCAATAATACATCTTTATGAAACTGTTAAATTTTGAGTACTTTCTTTCATTGGTAATGGGCACAAATATACTTATGTTTGATAATCTTTTACCTTTTCTTTTTAAAAAGAAAGCACAAAATAAGTCACTGAAAACTTTTTCCTGCAAAGACAAGACTGATTATTTGTCATAAGAATTTAATAAGTTTTAGAAGAAAAAAATATATATATTTCCTTAATCCATTTTCTTCTGATTTCAAACCAGCGTGTAGAGATTATAAAAAATAGAGTCTATTTACATGGCATAGTGAGCCCCAGTGCTATACAGAGCAAGGCAATGATAAAGCATATACACGAATCTGCATCCCAGCAGAAGCAACTGACATACAGATGAACAAAACACAACAACCACTGCTGTCCTACCGTACACTCTAGTCATGGTGAAGTACGAGAGGAGATCAAACATACAAAAGTTAACAATAATATTGGCCAAATATGCCTAAAATGTCATGTTTTATAAAACTAGGAAGGTATATATAACCAAGTACATGAAAAGTAGAAAAATAGCATCGGTGTGTCCGTGGCAGGGTGCATTCCAGCACGCGGGCTGGGCAGGTGCCAAGCAGGGCTCCTTGCACCCCCTGCGCCTATGTCACCATGTGCGGCCTCGTCCCGTCTTCTGTGAGGTCATACCTGGGGGCACAGATGGCGACAACATGCAGTCAGCTGTGGAAAGCACTACTGAATAAACATATGGGGCTCTGGTTATTGGTTTGTCATCGGTGGTAGGGACACTCACCACTGCGTCCAGCCTTTGGCGAGCTCTTCGGAGGCCAGACCTACCAGCACCTGTGGGTCAGAAAGCATTTGTAAACGTGGGCTGGAGTCTGCCTGTGGGCCTTTGACCACCTCTTCCTGTCTCCAGCCCTCTGTCCTAGCCTGGCAGGGGAAGTCTCTGTTACTATCTCTCATTCTTCAGTTTTTCTATCCTCGGCCTCCCTGCGAACTGTATCGTATCTGAGAGGTGCTTCCTGGATCTGGCTGTCCTGAACTCAGGTGACTAGGAAGCATCCCTGGGGAAGACTTGTGGGGACATTGGCTCGTGTGCCATAGTAGCACCAACAGCTCAAGGCTCCTCTTCCCTAACTTATCTTCTACGTACATTATTAAGTAATATACAATCTTAGGAAAGAGGTAAATGTGACTATGGACAAAGACAAGCAGAAATTCAGAGAAATAAAGCCAACAATTTGTTAGGGGAAAAACAGCTGGTTAGTCCACAAGGAAGAACTGTAGAACGTCCTCCCTTTGGGTTTTCTTTCCTTGTGATACTTGAAAAGTATTTTTTATTTAAAAATTAACTTTTTGTCCAACTATGGGTTCATGGTATTAGTATGACTAATATGCCAATGAAATGAATGCGAAAACCAATGCGAATCACTTACAATATCTTCAGAGTGTGCTGATGGCTGAGCTGGTCATTCCCGGCCCCCTACTTCATTAACAAGTGTGAATCGCAGCGCTAGTTCCCCCCTTCTACCTAAGTACGTAGGTCTAAGACAATGCACTTGGGGTTAAGTGTTGAATGAGCACAAAGCGTAGGAGCCATCAAGGATTTTCTCACACGTACTTTGCCGAGAAGCCCTTTGTCTTTGGACAGGAAGCCACCACTGTTCTTCACAGCGACGTCCAGTGTTCTCCTCTGCACCTCTGGTAGTGAAACGCTAAAATCAAAGCTGAGAGAAAAAACGAGGCTTCCTTAATGTCACCACCATCCTGCTGCATTTAATTGTGACTGAAGAATGCCATTTCTGCTTATGAGATCATGCCAAATGTTACGTCGTATGTTTGTTACTATTAAACTGAGTTCTCCTGATAGATGTTTGGGTCTGGCATTTCACGAAGATGCAAAGCCCAATTATTTTTCGTCTTTTCCAAACATAAGAGAAGACTCGCATCCTGAACACATGAAAAGCCGACTGCTGCAGCTCCCTCACGCATGGGTCGCGGTGTCAGTGAACACACGCGCCTGACAGTTCCTGATAGCCAGTTATGTGTGTCACAGTGGGGACGTTCAGACTGGGTCACTTGCCCAGGCCTAGGGACTAAAGGAGAGTCACTTGAAAGCCAGCGTGAGTGAACATAACAAAATCACCCGGTGGCCTGGCTTCGGGGAAGGGAGAAGGTCTGCAACACCATTCCAATGGCTGAAGTCAGATGCTGCCAACTGACATGCCTTCGGGGAAGCGGGTCCTGGAAACCGGCCGCTGTGTGGCCGGCGTGCAGCAGGGTCTCTGGCAAACGAGGGGCCTGAGGCCTCTGGGGACAGGGCTGGGGTGTGGCCGGCGCCCATGGAGCTACAGCATTAGAGACCCATACCTGCACATGGGGTCTCCAAACTCTTAAATGCTGCAGCCGAGTAAGCACACGGAGGGACAAAGTGTGCCCATGCGAGGACTCAGTGCATGTTAGTCAGTAAAAACATAACTGACCAGTATCTTTAAAGTTGAAATGAAACTGAATTAGTAGATATTCACACCATTCAACTTAATTGTTTCTCAAAATGCTGACTTTTTAGCTACAGAAAACTCTGAAGTAAGACAGTGAATCTGCACAGACCGAGCAAGGCTCTAAGTGGGGCCTGGGGACTCTCTCAGGAGGTCACATCAGACTGGAGCAGCAGGGCCGACCAAGTGGCTCTGTCAGTTAAGAGCTCGCTCAAAAGTTTGAGCTCTGAGCAACAGCGGTTCGATGCCCAGCCTGAGCTGAGCTGCCAACAGGTGGCAGGAGCGCTCAGCTAAAAAAAAAAAAAAAAAAAAACTAGCG